TGTGTGTGTGTGTGTGTGTGTGTGTGTGTGTGTGTGTGTGTGTGTGTTAAAAAGAAAGCACCAGGTTTCATGGCCTTAATGCCAGATACTCCAGAGACTGAGGCAGGAGAGTTACAAGTCCAAGGCCTGCCTAGGCTGCAAAGTGAGCTCAAGGCTAGACTGATCATCTTAGTGATACCTTGTCTCAAAATAAAGAGGCAGGAAAGCTGGAACTGTAGCTCAGTGATGCAAGGCCCTGGGCTCAACCTCCAGTATTAAAAATAAAACAAAAGGCACATCTATTGGCAGAGTTCATGTTGAGACTGTCATAGTCTTTATAGTGGGTTATCTATAAGGACTTCCTGAATGTGAAAGGGGCTCAAGGTGGGGGTCTTCCATACCCGTCCTGAGTAAGAGGGCACCAGGGTCAGGGCATTGTATGTCTATCCTGAGTAAGGAGGGTATTTGGGGGATACTGTAGTCATCTGTATAAGAGGGCACCAGGGTGGGGACACTGGTAGGGACACTCAGACTTGCCCCTGTGGTGTGAAGTACCTTATCAGCCAATCGATCAATTAATAATTACTCTGAATGAATCTGGCTATTCTCAGGCACTCTGCTCTCTGAGCCTTGGTGCCTTCATCTATAAGATGGGACTGACATACCCTTGTTGATCTCTGAGGAACAAACAAGACAGTGAAGACAAGTTAATGCTGCAGCGGAGCTTCCCTGGTTCCTGGGGAGTGTTCAGCAAGTTATGAGTGAAACATCAGTTTGTGACTCCTCCCAACCACCCCACCTCACACACAGACCTACTGGCCTGGGTTTTAACTCCTTTCACCCTATTCCCATGAAGCCTCCACTAAGCACCCCTTTCCTCGGGGATTCTCGGTGGTCACATGAGATTTGTGGGCTGTGTTTGTCAGGTACCTGGCTGACATTGGCATGCCCCAGCAGATGGCCAATGCTCCTGCTCCCCCCTTCCCAGCCTGTGCTGCCTGAACTCTGTTATGTGTCTTGCTGGTGTGGCCACAGCCATCCAGCTCGTCCTCTTTAGTGAATCATCAGCGTGTCTGCCCAGCTCCTCATGTGTCACATCAGATGGAGAACAACTCCCTCAGACTTTGAGGGCTCCCTGCCCAACCACTGGCTGCCCACCGGGTCTTTGCTGCCATGCGCCTCTCATCTAGACCCTGAGAGTGGATAAAGAGGAGATCAGGAAACCCCAAAGGGGCATGTGGGGCTAAGCCTCGAACCTGTACAGTCAGGGAGCAGAGGCAGGGGTGTCACCAGTTCTAGACAGGCCTCTGCTATATAGAAAGACCCTCTTTCAAGAGGGTCTTTAATTTGGTTAATTAAAAGTGTGGGGGATTAGTTGGCAAAGTACTTGAAGAGCTGAGTTGAATGCCCAAACCCACCTAATTTCAGCTGTGGGGAGGCAGAGACAGGAGGACCCCTCGTTGGCCAGCCAGTTGAGCCAAATAATGATATCCAGACTAGAGAAAGACCTTGTCTCAATGGAAGTGGACATCCCCAGAAGATGATGGTCAGGGTCGTTCTCTAGCCTCCACAGACATGCAAATCTATGTATACATTCACCCATGTGTGCACACAATTATACACACACACTAAAGAAGACAACATAGACAGGACAGTGATGACAAGCAGGGCCTGGGCCGGTGTGTGTGTTCTTTGCCAAGGCCTGGTCCAGTCTTAATGATTCTGAACCCTCATGACAGCCCCATATTACAGTTGAAAAAATGAAGTTTAAGTAACTTTCCTGGGCTTTTCTTTCCCACAATTAGTGGGGGCTAGTATAGAATTTGAGCCACAGTGGATCAGTCCCACCATCCATGCTTGGAGCCACTACTCCTGAGCCTATTAGCATAACTGCCAGCGCTTGCTGAATGGTCAAACAGGCTCTAAACCAGACGTGGAGCTGCGGGAAGTTGTTGGTGACAGGCAGCAGTCCAACTGTCCAAGTTCAGAGGCCCCAATCTCACTTTACTTTCTTGCCAGGCATTTCCCTGCTTGGCTCAATAACACATTAAAAATGGAGCTCTTGAGATTTAATGCTTGTTAGCTGGTTTTGCTAACAAGGAAAGTTTATTTAGAAATGGTGTTGTTACTGTCCCTCACCCAATGCTAAGCCCACTGCCTGGCCCTCTAAGAAGCAATCTGGCAGAGTCCACCAAAATGCCAGAGGAGTGAATAAGCTCACAATGGCTTCAGAGTCCTGCCATCACCATGGTGAGTCCACCACAGTTTCATCACTGTATGATGCCATCTGTATTCTGGATGTGGCGGTGTGGGCCACAGGAGGATGAGGTCTCAGCAGCCTGTACTGTGGTCAGTGAAGAGGAGCAGATGGAGAACTCAGGTTACTTTCTTGCTGGTAGCATCTTTTCCCTGTCCCCTTGGTTCTCCTCACAAATCCACCAGGCTACTTTTTTTTTCTCGCTTGCTTGTTCACAGACAGCCAAAGGCCTCTCAGCCCTGAATGACTGAGTGCTGGCTCTGGGCCCTGCAGCCAGTTCTAGAGTCTCAGGAGGTGGTGATTGGTGGACATGGGTGAGGTGTTCAGCCCTTGCCCAGGCAGCAATGGCTGAAGCAGGTTCACTGGAAGGAAGGTGGCTCTGTTGTATTTCCCCTTGTCCACTCTTGTTTCCTGTGTCTGTAGGCATTGATGCAGCGGTGATAGTGATCAGGACAGTTGCATAAACTCCGAGCTTCAGTCATCCATGTCTGACCGTACACAGCAGGGGTCTTTTGGAATCTTGGGTCCTGTCATGTCATCATCGGGGTCCTTCTAGGCTACATAGACTACAGATGGACACCATTGCTGTTTGCTGCTCATTTGGGTTCAGAATTGGGCTGGGGGCATGGCTTAATGAGAGTGTGTTTAACATGTGCAAGGCCCTGCATTTCATCCTCAGTACCACAAAAAAGAAAAAGGAAACTTCTTGTCTAGCAGATTTAGGATAGGATTGTCAGCAATGACAGGCCACGCCTTAGCTTAGTCCCAAGTAGTAGACAGAGCATGTTTCCAGCAGACAGAGAGACACAAGAAGACACATGGATGTCCAGCTGTCATCACACCCAACAGGCCCAGGAGAAAAATCTACACCTCTCCTTTTAGAACCAAGTATGTGACTGAGAGAGAAGTCTGGAAGGCTGACTTGGAAGGAATGCCAAGTCCCTGCTCCCTGGCAGAGGCATGCCGGCCAAATTCCTGATGTGCGGCACTTAGTGTCTCCTGGCGTGCCAGTGGACCAACCCCCCATTGCTTTCACTCAGAGGAATTCATATCACAGAAACCCAAGTGTTGACAGCCTGTGCTAGAGCGCCTTCTGCCACATGTCACGCCAGCCCCTGGGAGGAGAGGATATGGGGACTTCCGGGCTCTTTGTTGGTGGCAGATAGGAAGAAGGAGTCAGAGCAGTCACAGGAGAACCCGCAAGTGATAACCTTCAGGCTGATCTGGGGAACTGCAGGCAAGAAGCTGGTGTTCACAGGCCTCTCTGTCCCAGCAAACACTTCCTAGGAATTTCCAGTACCTCATGCTATCTGTGTGGAGCACTGAGGCACTGCAGGGAGCAAGGGTGAGGTGGTGATGGTTGGGGGTGAGGTGTAGGGGGAGAGCACTGGAAGGAAGTGGCAATCTGGAGGAAGAGCTCTCCCAGCAGAAGGTACAGGGGACAAAGCCCTACTGAAGAAGATTCTTGATATGTCCTTGGACAGATGTCTGGTGGCATGGAGCAAGAATGGCAGTGGCTGGAGGAGATGGAGGTTGCAAAACTACAAAGAGCCTCAACAGGGCCCTGTGGGCACAGTGAGCAGGCTCATTCTTATTCTTGGTATAAGAAACGATAATGACAATGAGAATAGTATGTAACAAAGTCTGCTATAGGCTCATGGCTCAGGGTATTGAAGTGACCAGACCACACACAGATAGCATGAAGCCAGACTGAGCTTTGTAGTGAGCCCCGCCATTGAGAGAGGTGGGGAGGAGGAAAAGCTAGCTAGCTCTCTGGGCCAGGGAGCTAGAAAGTTGAAGTGGTATGTCAGTCTCCTAAGCCACTGGGAGAGGGACTGTCAAATGCAAGACCTTTGGGATGTCATACAAGAAGTGAAGACTGACAAAGACTGAGAAGTCATTGTCACTAACAGAAAGTCACATTGAAGGAGTTCTAAGAGCCATGGGTGTCTTAGGCATTCAAAGTGCAAAAAGCTACCAGGGGTCTGTTCTCAGGAACAGGAGTATGCAGGTCATATAAGGCAGTCAGTGTTTCTGTGTATCTTTTGGCTCCTGCTCCCAAGTTGCCATCATTTTTAAGCAGGTTCCCTACAGTGTAGTCAAATGGGCCCTCAGAATTCCACTCTATATCCCATCAGTCTGGCTCAGCCAGGGGAATGACAGCCGCTGTGCTTCAGTGTGGATAGCTTGAAAGTGGGATGATTTCCAGAAAGCCGAGGCTTGTTTCCCAAAAGAGGGATGCTGAGTTTGGGGTGGGGTTGAGATGCCACCATTGAGACAGGAAACAGGGTTTCTGCCCAGAAAAGGGGAGGACAGGGCATGATGGGAGGGAGCCATGGGATCTGGTACTCTCTCTTTTCTAGGAAGGAGGGATTTAGGCATTATCTGTAGGCAGAGCGAGTAGCAGGAAGCCCTGGAGGAAGCAGTGTTGGAAGATTCTAAAGAGAGGAGATAATTGATGGCACCAAGCCCCCTAGAAAGCAGGCAAGAAATGGAACACAGGCACTGCCCAGTGTGAAAGCAACACAGAATGGCAGTGCTGAATGCCACTGTCTAATCAGAATGACACCTTTGGATAATCTTTGGCTATCCTTGGCTGCCAGGAAGGGCCACTGCCTGATGCTCACGCTGAGCTCATGGATTCTGAGAGAGGGCTTCAGAGCCTCCCTTGGAGGACTGGTTAGTGTCCTTCTGCTCAGGACTCAGGCTTTGTCCGTGTCTGGGAGTAGACAGATGCCTTGTAGTACTGTCACAGCCATGTGACTGGGCCAGCCTCCAGTGCAGTGCAGCCCACACTGTGACCAACTCGGACCCCATGGTCCATGATATGTCCCTAGCTATGTGGGTTTCAAAGTAGGGTGGCTTCTGGCAAAGTTCCCAAAACCAAAATAGCCTTCCTGGGTCAGCTTCCTATCACCATGTACCCAAGACAAACAACTGTCAAAGAAATGGGTTCACGATGGCTCACAGTTTCAAAGGTTCCAGGCCTGAACTCTTTGGCCATGTTGCTTTGGGCCTACAACAACGCAGCATGTGATGGTGGCAGCGTGCGCTGGGAGAAGCTGCTCACCTCCTGGTAGCTGGACAGAAAAGAGGAGGAACATCCCAGAGTCCTCTTCAGGGACATGGTCCTACCTCCTAAAAGCTCCACTCCCTCCCAGAAGTGCCACAGTCTGGATGCCAGCCTTTGGGGACCACTCAAGATTCAAACTATAGCTCTTTTCCTGATATGTACAATAGTTGTACTCCTAGAAAGTTTAAAGCCTCTTAAAAATACTGTTTGTTTGGTTTTTTTTTTTCTGAGATGAGAGTCTAGACTTGGGTTATGATAAACAGCTCTTTGCCAAGACTGCCAAATGAGGCCATGCTCCACCTAGACTTCCCCGTAAGCCTTGCCCCACAGATGTCACAAGGGCCCCTAAGTCCGTGGGACAGCCAAGCAGCTGAGAGCCACTGCATGAGACAGTTTCCAAGGCGAGACACCAACAGGCTGATACCCCCTCCTGTGCTCTGTCTTTCAGAGGGCTCCCAGGCCACCCAGACACTGCCTTGTTTGCAGTGGTTTGGGGAGCAGGAAGATGCCCTGCATGCATCATGGGACTCCCTCACTGCCTTCGACCGTGCCCACCGGGGCCGCATCTCTGCCCTGGAGCCACAGGGGGACATCTTAGATGAGTTCCTGAAGCAGCAGAGGAGCAGCCGCAATGAGGAGCCCCCAGCCCCCTGCAGAGAGGAGGAGCCCTCCCTAGAGACAGATGGCGACAGCGACTTTAAAATCCCAGTCCTCCCGTACGGACAGCACTTGGTCATTGACATCAAGTCTACATGGGGAGACAGGCACTACGTCGGCCTTAATGGCATAGAGATATTCAGCTCCACGGGGGAGCCAGTACAGATCTCCAGCATTACAGCTGATCCCCCTGACATTAATATTTTACCAGCTTACGGGAAAGACCCACGTGTAGTCTCCAACCTCATTGATGGGGTGAACAGGACCCAGGATGACATGCATGTCTGGCTGGCCCCTTTCACACCAGGCATGACCCACTCCATCGCCATCGAGTTCACACACCCTTGCCAAGTTGCCCTGATTAGGATTTGGAATTACAATAAGTCTCGAATACACTCCTTCCGAGGCGTGAAGGACATCACCATGCTTTTGGATACACAGTGCATCTTTGAAGGAGAAATTGCTAAAGCCTCCGGAACCCTGATGGGAGGTATGGTATATCTGTGGGGATGTTCTACAAGTCCTTGTTTGCTCCTGACTGAGGCATAGAGGGGAGACCCATGAGCTAGCCCAAGACAGGTAAGGTCTTCTTCATAGACGTGAGGTGCACCCCTCCCCTCCTCCAGCCTGGGTGGGCCAGAGCCATGAGTTGTAGCCTCTTTCTTGCCTTAAGGCAAATGGGTAGAGTGTGTAGGGTGCCCACAGGCCAGCCAGTCATTGGAGCCCAGCTCCCGGGTTGGAAGACACCCACACCTGGGGGAGGTGCTTCATAAAAGGGCTCACAGGAAGGCTAGCTAGGCAGTACACACCCGTACTCTCAGCACTAGGCTTAAGCATTGATGGTAAAATAACTCTTGAGACTACTCCTTACCTCACACACACTATCTGAAATCCTGTTTCACCAAAGGCTCCAGCCCATGTGATATCTTAGCAGGACTGTCTCAAGATTTAAAGCAAGAGGAGTCTGTGGCTATAGGTCAGTTGTAAACCTCTTGAGTAGCTGTGCAAGGCCCTGGGGGCTATCCCCAGCACTGTAGAAACAGGCTCAGGGATCTGGGTTAGGTACCCAGTACCTTCTGGGACTTGTTTGGTGAGAGGTGAAAGGATTCTCTTTCCGCGAGGTCCCATCAGTAGATCGGTGTGCCTCTCGGCTTGGTGAAATGTGGGGACCGAGCTGCCAGCTCACACGAGGAGCTGTTAGCTGTTTGAGACCACATAGTGTATGGGACACTGGGACATGTTCTAGATGGCAGATAGCTGGGGCGTGGGGCCCAGCTGGGGCCAGCTGAACCTTCTCTCTTCTTGGTGATGTGCCCAGCACCCGAGCACTTTGGAGACACTATTTTATTCACCATGGATGAGGACATCCTGGAGGCCATATTCTGTTTGGATGAGACTTTTGACATGGATGCTGACAGCCTGTGTGGCCTTCAGCCTGATGAGGCTCTAAGGAGACCCAGCACTGCTGACAGTGAAGATCAGGAAGAGCGGCCTTTCACACAGGCTGGCTTGGGCGCCCAGGACCAGGTAGGACGGGAGTGGGGCTGGGGAGTACCCCTAACTGGATTCTTTTCATTGTTCAGGGCAATGTCTCACCCTGCAGCACAGTCTGACCTCTAACTCACTGCTTTCCTGCCTCAGCCTCCCAGATGGTGGGACAGCTCCTAAGCGGACTCCTGCTCCTGACTCAGAGCAGGGAGGGGAAGTAAGACAGACATCCTTTGTGCTGCTGGGGCTGCTACCTTGACAGTCCCCTTTTTTTTTTTTTTCTAGTTCATTTTCTATTCAGCATTTCATATTTCACTTTCTAATTATTTATTATTTTTTAAAACTGAAGTGAAGTAAGGATTTAAATTTTTATCAAAGATAGGAAATATAGGCTAGATATTGGGCTCTGTGCTGTGTGTGTCTATAATATAGAGGTTGTCTGTCTTTTGGGGAGAGGGAAGTGGCTGAGGCTGCTTCAGATCACTCACCATTGTGAGTAGAACAGAGATGCCTGCAGGAGGCAGCCTTGCAGTTAAAACAATGACCAGAACTGAGCCTGTTAGTACAGGCCCGGAGGCCAGCCATTCACAGGCTTAAGGCAAGGCAGGGTTATAGAATGAGTTCAGGACTGGCCCGGCCAAATTAGAGAAACTCTGTCTCAAAATAAAAAAGAAGGTTGTAGATATAGTTCATTGGAAAAGTACTTACCTGGCCCAGGTTCTACCCCTAGAACCATTTATAATCATAAAACAGTGAGCATAGCCATGGCTGCCTGAGCACATGCCCTAACCCAAGTTCACTAATGATACAGGTTTTGTAAGCCCAGCCCCATGATGACACTTAAGTAGGGACTGTTATACTCTTACTGCAGACATGGATTAAGTGCCCTAACTGAGGCACTTACTTTGATACCATGAAGGTATCAAAGCCAGAACCTGAGTACATAATGCTAAAGAAAATGGGCAAAAAAAATGTCAGGATCCACTGATGGAAATGGAGAGGTCCCAGGGTCTTGGGGGAGGGTCTTGTAATGTAGAGAAAGAGAGGAGTGAAGAGAAGATGGGACAGCCCCAAGAGTCAGGCTGGCCCACAGACGTGTGAGGAAAGCAGACAGCTGGCCTACAGTCCCCCTCCCTGTTCAGTGGGGCTGAACCAGCAGGGCCAGGCAGGCATAGGGTAAGGGGGCATCCAGTGGGAGCCTGAGAGGGGACAGCAACTCTGCCCAGTGGCAGCCCATCACCCATTGTTGCTTGTTCCCCTGACATTTACAAAAGAAGCCAGAAATCTGGGTTTTGAGCTATCTCAATTTAAAAGTGTCAGTTAATTGAAATGTCCCAAGCCTTCCATGGCCACAAAGCACTGCACAATCTGCTGTTGACTCATGGGTCTCCACGGAGCTGACCTTGAAATCCTTCATCTGCCCAGTGTTTTCTAAATATCAAGGCCCAGGAGTACCTGCTGATGGCCCTGACCTCAAAGCAGGAGAGGATGCTTAGTCCTGGGGAAGACAAACTTCTTCCTTCCTTTTGCCCTGCTCCATCTTTCTCTTCCTCTCCCCTTTGTACCTCCTTCTCCCATCCTCTGTGCCTTTCTCTGCCTTCCTTCCATCTCAGGAAGTGTTATGGGTCCACAAGAGACTCGGAGAAAGTCTGAGTACCCTGGTGTAGCATCACCCCTTAGCTGCCAGTAAGAGCTGTGGGTAGGGATGTGGTCCCAGGCTCCAGACACCCACATACCCCATCATAGGAAGGGAAGGCATACAAAAACAGACCCAGGGATTTCCTGGGCATGGAGTGCTCAATGAATCTGGTAAAGGAACTGTGTAGGTACTACTAAAGCCTCTCTTCTTCTCCCTGTTTCTCCCCGAACATCCTGTAGGTACTAGGGCTAGAGCTACAAGCTAGCCCCTCTGTCTCTGAAGTCACCACACCAGAGCCAGGCATCTTCTACGGACTGTGTGAGTACCTTGCCCAGGTCCCTGGCAAGGGCCTCTTTGCATCTTGTACTATCAGGGGGCACTGTGGCATTCTGTACCTAGGTCATCTATATGGTCACTGGGGATCTGGACTTGGGAGCCAGGTGGCCCCAGGCTGCTGCTGGCTTCGTAGGTGGAACTGTTCTAGAACTCAGCCACTGCAGCACTTAGACAAAACAAAACAGGCTGTGTGTGTGTGTGTGTGTGTGTGTGTGTGTGTGTGTGTGTGTGTGTGTGTGTGGTGAGGAGGTTAATCACATAGCCCATGACCCAGGCTTTCTAACTTCTCCAGAACACATGATTTTAGGCAGATTCAGAAATGCTGGCTTATTTCACATACTGAAATACATGAGCCTATGACAGCCAGCATGCCTCCCTGAATAGATCTCAGCTGAGCTCCTGGGCCTCTCCCCTTCCTTCTAGATAGTTTCTCTCTTAGTTAAATTACATTCATGTCAGTCCCTCATTATCTAGGGAAGTTCCAAGCTGGGGTCATGGCTGTCTGGGATCTCCCTGCAACCCCCAGGGCCCTGTTAACAGGCTCACTGCATGCTCTAGTTGCCTTGCTTCCTGCTGTTTCTTGCCCTCCCTGCTGCTATGTCATTTGCTTTCAGTTTATCTCTTGAAAACAAGAGCTGTGACCCTACCTACTACACTTCTTTAGAAGCAGCCTCACCCCTCCAGTTCCCAGTTCACCCCAGCCTAGCTTAGCCCATGCCCTTGCCACGTTAGTGGGTAGCAGGCTCTCGGTGTCTCCTGGGTCTTGTGGCTACCTATCTGCCCAGTCCCTGAGGTAGCTCTGAGGGGGAAGACTGGAGCCTTCCAGAGCTCGCACTGAGGGGCAGGCAGGTCTGGACAGAAAGCAAAGATGGCTTTGTGAAGGCCTCAGCAGCTAGATGGGACGCACAGAAGCTGCGGAGGGTACTGGTGATGTCCTGAGTGAGGGAAAGCTTGGTCTTCACGTCCCTGTGTCTTCATGCCACTGGTCACAGGCTGCATCCAGGAAGGACAAGGCTTTCTGAAGATACTCGTTAAGATACTTGTGGCAAAAGCAGTCTCCTGCCCTAGGGCAAGGGTCTGGGTGGCACCTGGTGCACACTGCACTTCTTCCTGCTGGCTCTCCTGCAACCCTTTTCCCCCAGACACCTTCCATTGTCCTCAGTGAGAACCCTCCCCTGTTCCTTGCTCAGTCGAAAGGAAAAAATGGTCTCTTAGACAGAAAGAAGGTGACTTATTTGAATCCTTACAGCTCTTTCCATTCCAGGTCACTGAATTAGACTAACAGACTAAAGAACTGTAATCCTAGCACACTTGAGAGGCAGGGGCAGGAAAACCTGAGTTCAAGGCCAGCCTGTGTTCCATGAGGAGATCTTGCCTGGATAAGTGAATAAACAAGCAAATAAACAAGTGGCAGGGGGTGGCTCATTTAGGAGGATCCTGGTAAATTCAGGCATGGCAGTGCACAATTGTAATCCCAGTGTTGGCAAGATGTAAACAAATGAAGCTCTGGGGCTCTCTGACCACCATCTATCCTAATTAGTGTGCACCAAGACCCAGTAAGGAAGAATGACACCCAAGGTTGTCCTTTGCTTTCCACATGCACACATACATACACCCTAATACACATACACACAGGATAGATAGACAGACAGCAGATAGATAGATGGCAAGAACCAGGCTTGGGATGGGCTTTCCTGCCTGGCCTCCCAGTCCTTAGTGCCCTTTTTCCACATTAGACAAGTGAAGCCTAGCAAGCCAGAGTCACATAGCTAGTTCCCAAGGCTGGGACCAGAAGCAAGGAGATCTAACTCCAGAGCAGAAATCCTCCCCAACTACCACATGCCTCAGGGCTCTGCTTAAGAGGATGCCTTATGGCAGAGGCCTCTGTGAGGGTCAGCATCTTCCTGTGAGGCTGCTAGGTCCTAAAAGGTAGCAATAATTTATTTTTTTACTCAGTTTGCTTTCCCTGGGGTTTGAAACACACACACACACACACACACACACACACACACACACACACACACACGAACAATGGAAAAATGGAAATTGAATTCAAGCTGAATTCAGCAAAAAGAGAATCTATTGATTTTATGTACCTAGAAGTTGGGGTCACTAGTTTTTTTAGGCAGCTGGATGTAGACAGGGAAATGACACCATAGAGACTTGCTGTGTCTGTCTTCCCACCCTGTTTGCCTCTTGTTCTTCCCCATGGGAGCCATGCACCAGGGGCTCATGAGAAGGCTATGCACCAGGGGCTTGGGGAACTTTGCACTCACATCCACCCATTACCAACAACCCAAGAGCAGAAACCACTTCTATTGCCTAGCAGATCTAGTCCCAGAATTAAGTCTCTGGGTCTAGCTTGTATCTTAAGCCTATCCATAACTTCATTATATGGTTCTCCATGGTGGGTGTGGACAGGTAAGAGATGTGAAAACTATCTTGCCAGACATGGGTCAGTGGCTGTCCCTAGTGGGAGTGGTCAGATGCCCAGACAACCTGGATGAGCCAGAATGTCTCCCTGGAGGAGAAGAAAGGCAGGTGAAGGTGCTGCCAGGCAGAAGCTGCCACTGTCCTGTCTACCTGTTAATTTTTCCCAAAAAGGCTATTTACCAATGTCCTTTGCACTGAACCAGCCCAGTCTTTATCAGAGATGACATTGCAGTGGTCCTGGAGTAGGGTACTGTGACCTTTGATCTTTGTACTGGCTAGAAAAGCATTGAGGCCTCTGAATTGTGCTATTCCCTACCTTTTGAGCCTAGAGCCCCAAGATTGCTACAGCTCTTCTCTCTGAACCCCCACCCCACACTCAGCAACCTGTGCAGGTAGAGTACACTTTAATAAAGTAGTGCCAGGAAGTGTGTGCAGGGGTGGGGGAAGGCCAATCCTCTTCATGCTTTGAAAGAGAATATATGACTTGCTAATTTGCAGATGACACTCATTTGGGAAGTTTTGCAAATATCAGCCACAATGAATAGGGAAGGAGTCGAGAGGGCCAAAGCATGAGCGAAATAACAAAATTAATTTCCATTTGTATAAATACTAATTGATGCACCGAGGAAAATGAATATGGAGCATGGATATCAGCTCGCAAGGAGAGTCGTTGCGTTCAGAGCCCAGAATCAGAGGGATCAGGTGCATCTGTCAGACACAAAGGGGCTGCAGGCACGGGGGGAAAGGCTTGCTGTTACCAGGGGGAGGTGGCATTTCTGCCTCGCTCTGTCCCTCCCCTCCCAGTCTGTTCCCTCCTCCACCTCCAGGCCTTCTTCATCCCAGACACTCCCCACCTGACTCTGTCACCTGGATCAATCCCTTCTTCTCCTGCTGTGTTCAAGCCACTGAGCTCCATTGTCCCCTAAACAGACCTTGATTGTGTCCCCTGCTGCCCTGTCCCACTGTGAGCCCCTCAGTGAGGCCACTGTCAGCACCAGTGTCTTCCCTTCACAGTCTACTGAAGTCCTTCCAAGGCACAGTTCAGCACGTACCCCTGCCCTGATGCCCTGCCCAGGCCACCATGGCAGTGCACATCTGCGGTGCTGGTACTCAAAGGCTGAGCCTCGAGGATCACAAGTTTTGAGGCCATCCTAGACTACAAGGGAGATCTTGTCTCAACAAAACAAAACAAAACAAAACAGAAGAAGTAACCTGTTGTAACTCCCCATTAAGCTGTCAGGAACCTCTCAGCTTCCCCTGGGATCAAGCCCTGCCTCCTTTACTAGTGTCATACTCTTCTCCTCCCTTACCTAACTGCTTCCAGGTGTGGGCTCAACTTGTTCTCAGCCCAGAATGTTCCTCCTCCAGAAATGCAGCACAGCATGTCTGTTCTTAGTGTGCAGGCCCCAGCCCAGATCTCCCTTTCTTTCCCTAAATTCCCTGACTCCCCACAGTGCCACTCCCCCCCCCCCCCATCGTTCTGTGTGGGCCTGCTGCAGTGTGTACAGCTGTGTTGTCCTCATACCGAGGCTCACTCTTAGTTTCCTCACACCTATAGTTGGCACATGCAGACAGTGAGTATCCGCTTACCAGCCACCGGGACCACCTGCCCACCCGTCTGTCAATCAGAGGTTTCAAAACAAAATTTCGTTAAGCATCTATTTGTTGGGCACTGTAACCCTAGGCTCTGGGATAGAACAGTGAGTCCTGGCCTCAGGGAAATAAACAAGCACATTAATGTAGAATACCCCCTGACATAAGGATGAAAGCAAGTGGAGCAAGGGCATGAAAAGTGGGGGACACTGTCTAAGAGAAGACATTTGAATGTGGCCAGTAGAAAGATTGTATCAGTTAGCGTTTGCTGCAGAACAAACAAACCCACAATGGAGCGCCTGTCTGCAGTGCTCTGTGGTCATCAGTGCTCACAATTCTGTGGCTAGTTCACCTCACCGGAGCCACCCAGGTGTTCTCCCTTGGCCTGCTCACACCTCTGAGAAGCTGGCACGTGGACAGCAACTGCCTGCATGTGCTGCTGCTGGCTAGAGCGACAGGTGACTGAGCTTCCTGGTACCAGCACAGGGCAGAAAAAAGAGACAAGCTCCTGGGCACACATTCCACTCTACTGGCCAAAGCCAGCCATGCAGCCCAGATGCAGAGTGGAGAAGTTCACCCACCTCTGTAGGGAAAGCGGCAGGGCCAAACTGCAAAGCAGCATGGACACAGGCTGGAGGGCAGCCAGCTGTTTTGCTCAACATCCACACCCGGGAGGGTATGTGTGTGTGACAAGCAGTCTACTTGGTGCTACTTAGAAGCCACGTCCTCATCAGCTCAGGCCAACTTTGGCACCACAGAGAGGAAGTTTGAAGGCTGAAGTCACAAGAAGGGTGCTGGGAAATGATAGGCCATAGGACAAGATGTCGAGTCAGGGTGGTGAGAGGTTGCAGTCTGGTCTAGAATGTTCCGGAGTTTTTCTGGGCTTGCAGATCCTCTTGTAAGAAATATGGAGTACCTCATGACCCCAGATCCACCAAGCATGCTGTCACTTAGCAGAAGTCCAAAGAGCTAAACCTTAGAACTCAGGCAGGTGCAAAACAGGCCAAGTACCTACAGGGTGGGAGAGCCCATGAGCTTGGCCCTGCTCTACTGGGAAAGGAGAAAGTCCAGCCAAGCCTATGAAAAGGTGACAGGGTATGCCCCAGAGACTCAAGGAGGGGAGCTTTCTGGACAGTAGAATGAGTCACCTACTATGTATGTCCCAGGGCCACAGAAGGTCTCCTGAAATGGTCTGTGGTGAAGCAGGGTGGAAGCATGGGGTCAGCAGCTACTTCTTTTACCCTGAGTCCAGTGAGGGCTCCTAGGAGGAGCTCATTTGCATAAAACGTCAAGTTCTGGGTATGGGGCTTCTTAATGTGACTGTCCCATTTAGATACTGTCAGACATTCATTGGCATTGAGCCTATACCATATTGCCAGTCACTATGTCAGTACCTGGGCGCACAATAGTCTAGAAAGTGGGGTCGTTCCATTAAGGAATGAGCCACCTGGCAGGTCCCATCGGCAATTACTAGTTAGTGGCCTCCAGGGTTTGGTGGAGGATATATAGAGACATGACAGGCTATGATTGCAGGACCAGCCTGGCCCCTGAAACACATGCACAGTCCAGAGGACAGGAACAGCATGTGCAAAGACCTTGTGATAGAAGAACGGCACAGGAAGATGATCAATTGGAAGATCATCTGGGTAGAAGAACTAAGGGTCCCTGATGTATGATGAGGCCTGGGGGAATTAGAAGCCAAGAACGCCTCACCGCGAAACAGCAAGCCAACAGGATACAAAGCTTGGTGTGAAGTGGCCCAGCCAGGTGTGGGCTTCCCGCCTGCAGTATGTCCTGAGTCGGCAGCAGTCTGGGCCTGAGGACCCCTGAGAGAAGGTCCATGAGGGGAGAGGCTGAAGGATGGCTCTCTTCTGGCTCCAGAGCCTCTGGTGGTGACTGCCTACTTTCCTTTCCTCACAGGCCTCCGATTAAACTTCACAGCCTCCTGGGGGGACCTGCACTACATAGGCCTCACTGGCCTGGAGGTAGTGGGCAAGGATGGCCAGGCCCTGCCCCTCCACTCGCACCAGCTCTCTGCCTCCCCCAGGGACTTAAATGACCTGCCTGAGTACACTGATGACTCACGAACCCTGGACAAGTAAGTATGAGAAGCGTGGCTGTGGCCGTCAGGGTCTAGGGACATGCTGTGTCCCAGGCATCAGGAATGCATCAGATACAGTCTGGGAGGGCATGTGGCCAAAAGAAATAGAGGTGACTCTTTCCATAGGTGACCCCTTCTGGGGACAGGCAGGATGCAAAATCAGGCTGGTGTGTCCACAGATGCTGTGTGCTCTGAGAGCACGCTGGCCTCCCTAGCGTGCTAGGGCCTCCCTCAGCGTAGTCCGTCGGTCTCTGTGGTGACTCATCAGCTTTGCACGTGCCTGTCCTAGGCCTCTTCCTCTGCAAGCAGGAAAGTGATAGGAAAGTCTCTGCAGGCTGCTCTGCTTCCTGCACATTCTGGATGCCATGGCTAGGGTGAATGGGCAAGCTTTTTATAGCATCCACTCACAGATAACCTACCGCTGGCACTTGGCCTCCTGCTCTGGACAGCTATGTGAATTAATTAGAAACAAGGAAAGTTTGAAGAATGAGAGTTCAAATCTCTCCCCAGCTTTAAGTTTCCAAACCTCACACTCATAACAGTGAGGACAACAATAATAACAAGTAGTGTACGCACCATTTGGGAATGGTGAGCCAGGCACTGGGCTGTTGGTAGTTTACTAATGTCCATCCATGAAAGCCACAAGTGTAGACAGAGAATCATCATTGTTATCCTTATGTACAGAGGATGAAGCTGAAGTCAGAGTGTGATCGAAAGTGCCCAGACTGGTTAAGTAGAGTCACGATTTGAACACAGGATACGCCAGCCTGGCACTTGACTACTGAGCTGGGCATCTACTCTGCCTCAGTTTATTCATCCATAGAACTGTGACAGTAATCCCCATGGCTACAGGTTGTGAGTAGGGTGCTCACAGCCCCTTGTCCTGGCTGTATCCTCTTTGTCCCTTTAAGATGGCCCTTCACTGTTACCTTCATCCCCTGCTGGCACTGACTGCAGCCACTGTGGGCTGTAGATCCTGGCGGGACAGCTGGCAGACCTAGACCTGAACCCACAAGCTGCCCCTGGCCAGCCACTGGAGAAACCCACAGCTCCCCAGACTGTCCATCCCTGTCACCCACTCACCACCCCAGATCATCCTGACAGTCTCCAGCCCAATCTTAATGTCATCTTTAAATACTCCTCTGCGAATCTCTAACCAGGAAGCACTTGAAGAGGCGAACACTCCCTCAAAGTCCTTGTCACAACTAGCTCTGTGAGTAGCTGCCTGAGCCACCGGACAGCACTCTCACTGCTTGTGTAGTTGAGCTAAGATCCGGTAACAAAGTGTGCCGTTAACTGAGAGGCCCTTGAGCTTTAGGGAACTTCGAATTTTTCCTTCCCTCTTTCTTTCATTTATTTTTATTTTTTAGGTTAGAATATAAAGCAATGGGTTCCATTAAGGCAACTTCATACACACACCATTATACTTTGCTCTCATTCATCCCCTCCCCTACCGTCCTTTGCTGTACCCTCTCATTAGTGTCCTTTATTCTCCCCGCTGTTTCGCCACCACTGCTGCCCTATTTTAAGTATATTATGCCTCTATCCCCATCTTAAGATCCCTTCCTTCCCCTCCAGTGAAACCCTTTCTAGTTCTTTAGTATGAATGCATGGGTACCCACCCATATATGAGGTAAGGTTTAGGCTCCATAACCTAGACGACTTACAGCATTTGTCTGAGTCTGGCTTGTTTCTCTTAACATTTCCAGTTGCATCCATTTTCCTGAAAATACCACAAAGGTTGCCTTTTTCTTTTCCATATTGCATGTACGGACCACGTTTCTTTGCCCATTCATCTGCCGATGAACATCTAGTCCATTCCCTGCCCATGCATGCTGCAGCAGCATCTTAGGATGCTGACTTACAGCCCTCTGGGTATATACCCAGGGGGGTTACAGCTGGCTCAAACGGTAGATCTGCTTTGGGGGTTTTGAGAAACCTCCACGGTGATTTCTATGACTCCTAACAGCAGGAATGAAGACTCCCCTTTCCCCACATTCTCCCTAGCTTTGGTTCTTATTTATTTTCTTGATGGGGTGAAATGGATTCTCAAATCAGTTTTCCCTGATCATTAGGGATATTGAATGGTTTTTTTTTTCAAATATTTATTGGCTATTTGTATCTCTTTTCTTAAGAATTGTCTACTCTTTTCACTAGCCCATTTATTGAATGGATGACTTCGGCTTAGGGTGCTTAATTTTTGTCATAATTTATGTGTGTTGATATTAATCCTGTCTTCTATGTGGCTCGCCGACATTTTTTCCCATTTTATAGGCCCTCTTCACTCTGGAGGAGCTCTCCCCCTCCATGGTTCTGTTTTTGTAAGACAGGGTCTCTCAGTGTGTACCAACAGAACTTCAAGATAATGCTGCTTCAGGTCCAAGTGCTTGCATTATAGAAGGATGCCGCCAACTCATCTCTTCATTTGTTCGTTTGTTTTCCTATTTTTCTTTTATTAAAAATAGATTTTGTAATCCAGGTATGGTATTGCATGCCTTTAATCCCAGCACTCAGGAGGCAGAGTCAGGCAGATCCCTGAGTTCAAGGCCTGCTTGGTCTACATAGTGAGTTCCAGGACAGACAGAGCTATGCAGAGAAACATTGTCTTGAAAAAAAAAATTTTTTTTAAAGTGTTTCATTCACTACATTCTAGTTATAGCTCCCTTACCTTCCCCTAACTCCTCCTAGTTCCTCCCCTCTTCCCCTCTCAGGAGCCACACCGTTTTTGTCTCATTAGAAAACAAGCAGGGATGTAAAGAATAATAATAAAATGAAATAATAATGCAAAAACAATCAAATAGGAATAGGACAAAACAAGCAAAAGAAGAGGGCCAAAGAAAAAGCATAAGAATGTTATATAGATACAGAGACACATACAGATTTGCACATACAGGAATCTCATAAAAACACAAAACTGGGAGCCATAATATATATAAAGGACCTGTAAGATTTTTTGTTTTTGTTTTTGTTCTTAATGCTCTGACAAACCATGAGAACAAAGAACCTCCAAAGATACCATTAGTTTGTTTTCTGTTGGCTTCTACTGCTGGGCATGGGCTCTGGCCTTAAGTAATCTTTTTTGGGGGGCAGAGGGCCGGCGTGGGTTTGAGACAGGGTTTATCTGTGTAACAGAGCCCTGGCTGTCCTGGACTCACTTGCTCTGTCAACCAGGCTGGCCTCAAACTTGCAGTGATCTGCCAACCTCTGCCTCCCAAGTACTGGGATTAAAATCATGAGCCAACATCTGGCCCCCTTAAGCTGTTTTCCATCCTTATCGGTCACCTCAGATTCCAGGAGCTCCTGTGCCCATTTTTGTATTTGTTTGTAATATTTCTTTTTTTTTCGTGTGAAGTGCTGGTGATGGAACCTAGACCCTTTTGCATGGAGGGCAAGCATTCTGCTACTCAGTGCCCCTCCCCTACCTTCTGATGGGTTGAAGGATGGCCCAGGCTGCTCTTGTCTCTCTTGCCCTGACCTGGCTTCTACCATATCCCTGCAATGACAGGATCCTGATGGTGGCCATAGTGTTTAGACCAATCTAGGCATGAGAGAGGCTTGTTGCTAGTGGGTGTCTTAAGGACAGTGCAGAGGGAGAGGTGTCCTTTGCCACCAGCCTCTATGCCATCCTCTTCCACTGTCCCCTTCTCCCAAAACCCTGCAACAGTTTTGCTCGCAGCCAGTCCCCAAGACGGAAGTAATTGCTTTGGAAGGAAACAGCAGCCTACAGCAGCCAGCTTCCTTCACAAACAGCAGGGTCGGCCTGCCGAATTTCCTCAGTTTTAACATGCCAGCAATTGTAAGACACACCATCCATCAATTTAATAACAGCCTTTTAGAGCACAGGGGAGAGAACGCTTTACCTCCATGGATGAACACTCAGATTTATTCCAAACCTCAAACTATCAAATGGTAAGGGGGAAAGTTGATTTTAGATACAGGAATTGTGGCCACAGCCAGAGTTGCTCACAGCACAGTGGCCCTGAAGGTCCCTAGGGTCCAAGGGTCGAGTGGGGTGAGGCTGATTGTCTCTGGGTCCAGGGCTCCAAGTGGCCGTGCCACACAGAGGACAAAGGTCAAGCCCAGATCAAAGGGGCTGAGGTAACTGGTTGGCAAATGTCTCCTGCAGACTGGGGTTTCCCTGGGGCACCTAGACCTGTGGCCACCAAGCAGGTTGGCTCGTCAGAATCGTGGAGCCAGCTGCTTCCTCTGGCACCTGTCCCTGGCCCAGGTCTGCCGGTTCCCTGATGTTTCCCAAGAGAGAAAGGCTGCACTTCCCGCAGACTGCCTCCACATCTCGCAGAGCATTTGGACAGCAGAGAAAAGACCCACCTTCCGCCCAGCACACCCCTTCCAGGCACTGGCCCCAAGTCATAACCCCACGCCCAGCTTGCAGCTGGTCCCTGTGGCCTGCCAGCCTGGCCACACCACAACCTCTTGTGGTTGTCATTTTCCCCATTAACCACCGCACATCCTAGGGTGCCTGCACAGCTGTGTGCTGAGCTTATGTCCACAGCAGCCTTCGCCTGCAGAACAAGGCTCCTTAGCAGAAGCCTTTCACCCTGGGGTCGTAGGCTGAGGGATTCCCACGGGGACACACCTGTCTGTGTTAACCTGTTGGGGATGAGCATCTCAGCACCTTCACGAGCACACTCTGTTTTTACCCCTTCTTGACTTGCCGCCCTCCCACCTTCCATGACACCTCTGGGGGAGAGAAGCAGGCCATCTGGAGGTCTCCCACCGTCTTGCTGAGCTCCCCTCGTTGCCTGCAGGTTAATCGATGGCACGAACATCACCACCGAGGATGAGCACATGTGGCTGATCCCCTTTTCCCCTGGGCTGGACCATGTGCTTATGATCCACTTTGACAGGGCCCAAAGCATTGCTGGCCTGCGCCTCTGGAACTACAATAAATCTCCCGAGGACACCTACCGAGGGGTAAGCCGGGCAGAGCGGAGTCCACTATCAGGGAGGCAGCATGATGAATGGCTAGTGTGGGTGCTGGAGAGAAGCATAAATCCTCCAGAACCTTCCAAGTAGAGGGGGGATGACATCCAGGGAGAGAGCCAGCTGCGTTTCCTTTTGCACACAGCGGACATAGGCATAGCCCGCAGCCCACCACCAGGGCAACCTGGGGAACTGCGGGCTCGTTTCTCCGTGACTGTGGGTCCTCTTCCCACACAGTCCAGCCTGGCAGTGTCCGCTGTGGGCCTGCTGTCCACTGAACAACAGAGCGTTGTGAGGCAGGCTTGTGTGCGTTCCCCATTTCTTCGGGTTCTTACCCCGCCTCCTTTCGCTGCCCCACCTCACAGGGTTCTAAGGAAGGCTGGGAAAGGATTTGCCATTCTCCTGGGGCTACACAGCTAGAGTCTGGTCTCAGTCTGTCGAGCATGAAGCTCACACTCTCTTTCAATTGCTGGTGGGAAGGCAAGTGTGGCAACTGGCTTGGAGGTCTTTGCAGTCTGCTGGCGGATCCCAGCAGCATGGCCAGCATGTCCTCCCTGGACAGCATGTGCTTGTGCGGGTGTTCATGCGTGTATTCGTGCGTTCATGCGTGCATGTGTGCACATATGTCTACTCAGCAAGTGCTCAGAGCACAGTGCCACTACCTGTCAGCCTTGAGGCTGTCAGAAGGACCAGCTGGGTCTCTGCTATGAACCCAGCAAGCACTTGCCAGGTGCTGAGAGTAGGAAGATGGGGGCTGCGCCCACCTCACAGGTGGGGAGGAAGGTGGAGGGAGGCTGGAGGCCTGCACAGCACTGGTAGAGTGTGTGCTCCAGAGCTTGTGCCCTTGACCATCTCACCTGACTGCCACAGGCCACTGCCACTGCTGTCTGGGGTCCCCCACCAAGTACCATGCCTCTCTGAAACACACGCATGGGAAACACAGGTAAGTGTCCTCAGGGCAGGGACTCACTTCAGGTGTCCTGTTCCGAGCCCCAGCGTTGTACTCAAGATGGAATGTGACTGTCACCGGAACTCAGGGCTGGCCAGGTGTCCTGGCCCGGTAGAAGAGCCAGCCACTGTCTGAGGCCTCAGGCAAGCTGTGTCTCCTTTGCTAGGTCAAAGTCGCCCATGTGTCCCTGGATGGCCTGTGCGTGTCTCCTGCAGAAGGCTTTCTTATCCGAAAGGGGCCTGGCAACTGCCATTTTGATTTTGCACAAGAAATCCTCTTTGGGGACTACTTGCAGACCCGGCTACCACCAGCGCCCACCAGGAGGTGAGTGAGAGGGGCTAGCCCACAGTGTCGTCTGTGTGTGCACCCTCAGGGCTGGAGCTGCAGTCACTGTGCTGTCCAGAAACACCTCTGGCTGCAGTGGCTGCTCCCCTCTAGCCAGCAGGATATGTGGTCAGGAGAGTGACCCCAGAGGCACATCCCAGTCAACTACCTGTCAGCTGTATGTCTTTGTACAGTGGCTTTACCACTCTGTCCAGGTATCTGCATGTTTGTTCCAGTTAAACATGTCCCCACCTCTAGGCAAGAGTCTGTGACAGAAAAGAACCAGGTCCTCCACTGCACGCCCCCATACAAGTGTGTCTCCCCTGGGAGAAGAGGAGGTCATGCAGGAGCCACCGTGCTGCTGCATATGCAGTCCATGGCTCAGGAGTGTCTCTTGGTGACCCTGGAATGGAATCGCTCATGGTACTGTTTTGGTCTCTTTCCAGGCTAGATGTGAAGAGCCTGGAGCAAGCCAGCATGGACTACGAGGCCCCACTCATGCCCTGTGGCTGTATCCTTCCCCCAGACAGCACAGAGCCGGGCAGCTGGGATGCCACACCGGGAGAGTGAAGCTAACGAAGGCAGCACTAGGATATAGAAGCAGCATGGGACCCCTCTGCACCTTGGAGACTGGGGCTGGGGAGGTGCCACAGAGGGCTCAGCTGAAGGGCTGGAAAGGAGACCCAGGGACAGGGCAGGGAGAAGGCAGGGACAGAGGCAGCAGGAGCCCCTCCTTCCTGCTGTGACCTCATTGCATAGGCAGCGGAGCATCTCCCCTGGCAGCAGCCCACCTCCCAGCCATGAAAACTAAAGCACCAGAGCCAGGCATGGTGGAGGCAGGGGATCAAGAGTCCCAGACCATCCTTGACTACATAATGAGACCCTGTCTCTTGAAAAAAAGAAAAAAAGAAAGAAAGAAAAGCAAAAAAGAAAGCTAAAAGCAAATGGACCAAGTCAGAGAAGTCAAATAACTTGCCCCACCTGTGTGGGGGTGTCCAGATTCAGAAGGAAGTGGTTTCTTTGCCTGTAGCCTGTAGCCTGGGGTGTCTAGGCTCTCGGGACTTCCACTTCTGCTCCTAGGAACTGGGGTTGGGAAGATCAAACCAAGGGGGACAGGTGTTGCCGTGAGCACATTGACCTTATCTGTAGGACTTACTCTGCTGTGGGCTGACCTGAGGCTTTCCCCCATCCACAACAAGCTTATTCCCATGAACTTGAAAGACGAAGGAGGGAAGAGGTTTCTAATCATTTCCTAACCAGGGCATCTGAGGCATGACCCCAGAGGCGTGGTCCCAGCACTACCTGTCCACACACTCCTTCCAGTCCCCTCCCAGGGCAGTGGTGTGGCAAAGTGTGATGCTGTGTTCCTCTTGGCAGACATCCGTCCCTGGGAGAGCGACACTTCCGCCGACAAACATCCCCTCTGCCACTGTGCAGCTTTCTTCTCTGGAAAACTGAGCTTCACTCTTCCTTAATCACAACCAAGTCATTTTCCAGTTCCAGCTGCTGTCCAGCTGGGGAGACCCCTACTACATCGGCCTGACGGGGCTGGAGCTGTATGATGAGCATGGGGAGAGGATCCCGTTGTCCCAGAACAGTATCCTTTCCACTGGGAGCAGAAGCCAGCACAGAAGATGCTGCTACAGATGGGGCAGGGTCCCAGATCTGTAATTCTAGCACTCGGGAGGTGGAGGCAGGAGGAATTTTGGGTGTGTGAGGCCAGCACAATTTTGAGGGCAACCTGAGCTACGTAGCAAGGCCCTATTTCAAAAGGCCAGATGAGGGTTAGATGTGTTAATGTACACCGTTAATCCTAGCACACAGAAGGCACAGGTAGGCAGATCTGTGAGTTTGAGGCCAGCCCGGGCTACTTAGCAAGACCTTGTCCCAGAATGTAAAACAAAATGAAAGACCTGCTGGTGACTGATGGTGTAGTGATGATGATTATGATAGTTATGGTAATGTGATGCTGGTGATGCTGCTTGTTGGTGATGGTGGAGATGGTGATGATGAATATGGTAATCATAATGTAATGATGGTGATGAAGATTACAGTAGTAAAGACAATGTGGTGGTGGTGGTGGTGGTGGTGGTATGATAGGGTGCCACTGAGCCCTTAGAGCTACTCCTAGCCACGCTCACCAAGGATGCTACATCTGGTTCTTTCCCATGGTTGAGAGTGCAGGGAGATTCCTACTAAGCACAGACCCTTCTCAGAGGGCATAGACAGCTGGTGATCTAAAGGCTCCGACAGTCTGGGAATTCAGTGGGAGAGGAGTGTATTAACCTCTGCTCCTGCTGTGCCCACGCTGGCTGTTGATTGGCCCAGAGGGTTCTGAAATATTTCAGTTTGGTGGTTGATATTGTTAAATGCAATGCCAGCCTCTGGAACTTAACTTTTGATACAAGGCCCTCAGTCATGTGGAGTGACTGTGACTAAGCCAAAGGACCCCATGGATGCCTTAGCAATGCTGACTCCTGGAGCTCTTGTTATCAAACAGCCTCCCTCTCCCAAACTCAGCACTTCTGGATGGCTCTTTCTATGCTAGGCACTGCTAGAATATACCCTATGCACCCCACAGAAATCTTGTGAACAAAATAGTCTAAAATCCGAATTGTCCAGGGGAGGAACCTAAGACGGAGAGGTGGTTTATCTGAAGGTACACAGCCCAGTCGGAAAGCTCTGAACTCTCCTATGTCTTCTGTGTCACCTGCTTATCCTCAGCAGGCCCTTCAGGTAGGGTCATGCTAGCATAGCCCCAGAGTCCTGTGTGTGCCCGGGGCCCTGGGTGTCTCTGGGGCTTTTATCTTCCACGTAACTTAGTGAGTGACGAGCTCCAAGGGTACACTGATGTCAGCAAGATGGCTCGTGCCAGTGTCTTCTGAGGTTCTCCTGTCCATCTTGGAGCACAGGCATTTCTGTCCCTGTTACAGGGGAAGTATCAGTGATATCCAGTGGCTTGCCTGAGACTTCCTGACAGAGATTTCCCCTGTCACAGTGACAGAGCTGGACCCAGATTCTGCACATGCCCTTAGGGGTCCCTTCTTAATCAGCTCCTATTGGGCCAAGGTCGTGACCTGCAGAGTCATCTTCCTGCCCATGTCGGGTGTGAGCTGTGCTTCAGAGCAGTGGCAGTACCAACACCCCATCTGTGCTTCTGCAGACCCTTCATTTCCAGCTAGCCTGCCTGTGCTCCCTGACTTTGAACTTGACTTTGGACCCTTACTTGGCGCCCCCCTCCCCAGCACTTCCCCTCAGCTACAATCCCATTTTCTTAGAATGCATCTATTTTCACTGTCGTTTCCCATCCTGCTAGAGTGTAAGGCACCAGCCCAGCATCTCCTGAGACACAGTGCAGATAGCTTGACACACTGGAGAGTGACACACTGCACAGCATATGAGTTTGGGTTATGACAGCTTAACCTACACCTCAGATATCGCTGCCTTCCCAGACAGTGTGAATGCGCTGGAGGGTGTATGTGGGGATGTGCGAACCCCTGACAAGCTTATCGACCAAGTCAACGACACCAGCGATGGCAGGCACATGTGGCTGGCCCCCATTCTGCCTGGCCTGGTAGGTACCTGGCCCTGGGACCAGTGACATTTGGGAGCCATCAGAGAGGTAGCCATCAGAGTGGTGCACAGCTCTGGGTGCAGCCCTCCCAGGCCTACGATTCCTTCTCTTACTCCATGGACTTTATCCAAAAAGGCACCAGCTGTGTGGGGAATTCCAGGGACCTGAAGTCAGGAGTCCCCATACAATTGCTGGAGGGCAGGGCTCTCGTGTGCATCTCGCTGCCTCTTTTCTGTCAAGGCCCTCTGCAGCCCACTCCACCCTGGCATCTTCCTCATTTCCCCCATTCCTTATGTCACTGCCCGTGGCCAGTGTGGCCACCTTGCCCTCCCCTAGCCCCAGGCAGCATGTCAGCCATTCTCACTGCTGACTGCTTTTCCCAGTCCTCAAACCCTGCTGCGGGCCTAATCCATCATTGTGAAGGTGGGAGGAGGTCCAGGAGAGGGTGTAGGCCATCAGTCCCCTCCACCTCAGTGACAGGGCCAGGCATCAGAACATGGTGGGAGCTGGGGCTCCTTTCCTGCTCGTGTAACTGGGTAGGATACGGACATTGTCTGCTCAGAGGAGGGAACAACTCCCAAAAAAACACAGGGCCAACTCCTCAGCCCAGTCTTCTGCTACAAAGAGTTACGCACAGCCCTGTGGTCCTTAGGCCCCAGCCAAAAGCAGGAATTCACTGCTGTCCTCTATCACTGTCATTCTCCTAGTGGGGACCTAAGGGTCTGGGGGGAAAGACTCTACCCAGCCATCACTGTTCCCAGGCCATCATGTGCCACAGGCTGGACCCACTTGCACCTACTTTTTGTTTGTTTGTTGTTTGTTTGTTTGTTTGTTTGTTTTGGTCTCCAAGTGGCCCCCTCTGATGTTGAGCCTGCTGCACAGACTCCTCTCCTGCTAATCTGGGGCTGAGTGCTAGCCACTTAGTGCTCCCTCAGCAGACACGGGTCAGGAGAAACCTCGGTGCTGGGGTGCATAGGACTCGAACTTTTCTCTCTCTAACTCTGGGAAGGACAAATGGGTCAGGGCCATGCACACTGTTTGGTAGGGGACGCTCCCGGCCGCTGCAGGCGGAGACTGTCCCTCGGCCTAAGGAACGGAAGGCTGGGCTGCCGTCAATTCTCAGCCAGTATTAAAAGGGCCACAGCAGCAGGAGGCGGCAGCCCCCCCCCCCCCCAGAGCCAGCTCAGCAGTTTGCTCCAAACGCAACTACGCGTGACTTGACTCGAAATGGGCTCCAAGGAGAAAAAAAAAGCCACGGAACTCCAGCTTCCCACATGAAGAGTGCTGCCACTGGCACCTGGGGCCCACCAGCTCCCTGCCCTGGTGCTCTGGGCCCAGCCCGTGGCTCCGTTTCCAAACACAGCTGCTTTAATTAGCTTTGCTCTCTGACAGGTGAACCGGGTGTATGTCATTTTCGATCTGCCCACCACTGTGTCAATGATCAAACTGTGGAATTACACGAAAACACCTCAACGAGGGGTGAAGGAGTTTGGCGTGAGTCCTCACTAGCTGGTGTGGGAGATCATTGTGCTTGCTGGAAATTAGGCTGGGGGCAGTTATCATTTGCTGCAGTTTGGTCTCTGTCCCCAGATACAACCTTGGAAATGCCTGATCCTCAGAGCAGGGAAACCTGCCACCCAGCCGTGAATTCAGAAAGGCCTGGAAATTATCCAAAGCAACCCCTGGCCTCGGCCCTGGCATTGGTGGTGTTGGCCCTGGTCTGGTGTTGCCCTCAGGACTCCCTCTAGAATCACACAGCCTTGGGAGGCAACTGGGTGCCTTCTGAGAGAGCAGAAGCCATGGGGACCCTGGAGATTGGGTCTGCTCCCATCTCTGCACCTGGTCACCCAGTGTTGGGAAGCCCTGGAGCTTCAGCTTCTGAATCTGCAGCCCAAGCTGACAGCACATGCCCTTCATGCTGGTGTGGGGAGAGCCTGCTGTCAACACGGGTCTTCAAAGAAGCTTGGGCTTGGGGCAGCAGAGGGGTGCATTGCTCAGGGTTGGGGTAAATGTGGGAGGGGCGGGGCCTCATTTCTACTCTTGTCTCTTAGCTGCTGGTGGATGACTTGCTGGTGTACAATGGCATTCTTGCCATGGTGAGTCACCTGGTTGGGGGCATCCTGCCCACGTGTGAGCCCACCGTGCCCCACCACACCATTCTTTTTGCCGAGGACACTGACTTCTGTCACCAGGAGAAACACAACATCATCAGGTACACCCCTGAGCTGCCCTAATGAGGATGGATGGCAGGGGCGTGGCCTGGAAGCTGATGGGCCTTCTGTCTCTCCTCCTGCAGTAAGCCACAGGAAGACCAGGACATACAGATGATGAATGAAAACCAGATCATCACCGCCTCGAGGAGAAAGCCAGGCACGGCTGACCCAGGTGGGTGGCATGTGTCTGCCCTGAGCATCCCTGTCAGAGGCTTGGTCTGGGTGGACATGAAGCGGAGTACATTAACCTTGCCCTGCCTGCCCAATACCGCTTTCCCTCGAGGAGCCTGGCCCAGAGTGGCAAGCGGCTTCTGCCTGTAGGTCTCCCTTGTGGCCAGGAGAGAAGGGCAAGGCACACTGTGGGAAAACAGGAGAGGAAATCAAGTTGAGGGCTCCCTAGGATATGTGGCATTTGAGCTGGGTCCTAAAAGATGCCTGGTAACATAGGCAAAGGCCTTTGGGGTGGCATGGTAGAGCCTACTCCATGAATAAGATAGGCCACACAAGGTTCCCAGAACTCAGGCCAGCTAGGTCTCTACCTATCTGAATGGCCAGCTAGGTATATGGCTGCTCTCAAGGGCAGTGTAACTCACTCCTCCTGTTTTCTCAGCCTTGCGTCCCAAAACCTGCATACGTGAGAAGGAGACCTCAAGGCGTTGGCGGTGCTGACTGGAACAGGAGGGGAGCCTCTTCAGGCTGCCTAGGCTCTATCACCAGCCCTGAACAGCACCTACATCCTTCATACTTCAGGGTTGGCCAGCTGGGACTCCAAGGGCTGTAAGAGTGTAGAGGAACAAGGAACTTGAATCGTAGCCCCAGGAGCTATAGGGGTCAGATGAAAGGGTCAAGAACAGAGGAGCCGCCCCTGCCTCACTGGGACTGGCTGCTGGGAGCCAGCGATAGTTGGCTTCTCTCCAACATCCATAAGAGCAGGGCTTGTGGCCCCAGAGTCCGAGGCAACCCCTGACCCAGGCCCAGAACTTAGTACCATGACCCTGCTCACTAAGGGCAACAGAGCTGCTGAGAGGCCATGTGCCATGGTGGCTCCTCTATCCAGTGACTGGAGGCCTGATGGGCTAGTCCTAGGTGGCTTTTGTCCTCTGTCGAAACCTGATTCAGGACAGGTCAAGGGCATCCTGCTGAGGAGAGGAAGTGAGCTGCAGTGAGTGCTGAAACCTGCCCTCATCTCCTGCCTCTCCTCCCATCTCTCTCTCTCTGTCTCTGTCTCTCTCTCTGTCTCTCTCTCTCTCTCTCTCTCTCTCTCACACACACACACACACACACACACACCCTGCAAGTCAGAGTTGGGAGGGCCTAGGCTTGGGGCCTGGCTCTTTTCCCTGCAGCCCAGAGCCCCATGCCTGTGTGTACATCTATGAAACAAGCTCAGATCAGGGACCTAATCAGTCTCCCAGTAGTGGGTAATTTCTGGTTCCAAATATTAATCTGTTGTTTTCCTGGCTCGGGGCCCAGCGGGGCAGCGCCATGGTACTGAACTCAGTACGTTCTGATACTACCAAGAATCACATAGGCTTCCAAGCAGCAACACCCAGCAGCTGTACAGATGTTTTAATTTGGAGCCAGCTGATGTGCAGATAGGATTGCTTCTCTGATGAGAATCCATCATCTCTGTAGCCTGGAGGGCTCCCCGCTCCTCCACTCACCCCCACGACTCCCAGGAGGGCCACCGCTTTAACAGGAACCCAGCTTCTGCTCATGGGGTGGGCTCATGTACATTTTTCTGGAACACCCAAGATTGACCTTGGTGTGCTCCCTCCAGACCCTTGGTGGCTGTTCATAGGTGTACATTCCATGCAGCCTCAGAGGGAAGGCACTGGTACAAGCATTAACTCTCAAATAAATGTCTATTTTTCTTACAAAATCAATAAAAGATGTTATTAAGAATAGAGTGTGGTGTGCTGGATGAGGTCAGCCCGAGGGAGCCCTTGTTGCCTCCAGCCCTAAGCCAGAGTCCATCTGAGGCTTTCAGAAAACTCAGGCATGTGCCTCCCTGAGCTCAGCTCCCACCACCTGCAGGTGGGGACACAGCCTGGACCCACTTCCTCCATGGAGTCCACCTGCCACACCATGTAAACAGACACCAGGAAGTGGTGCATACATTACACAACAGGCACTAACCGTTTAGTCCATGTTACATATGAAGGGGCTGGGGCACAGAGACGCTGTGTAACCTTCCCAGGACACACAGCTTTGAAAGTGATTAATGAATGCACAAATCCTCAGGTGACCGCTGGGGAGCAAGGGTGACAGTCTTTAATCACAGGGTTTCATTTGGGGCCCCTTCAGCCCCAGATGCCTGGTTCCTGGCTCCTCCCCACACCCGCTGTCCTTAATCACTTCCCCCGGAAGAGTATTGCTGGTTCTTGGCACCGGATTCAGTTGCCCTTGGACAGGAAGGAGGCAACCATGTAAACCCAGGCAACTTCAGTTCTCTAGAAAGCTCCTGCCCCACTGTCGTGCTGGTGAGGTGCCCCCCCCCAACACACCCCACTGGTACTGGTAAGAAGAATCTGTCCTGTGGGGCAGACTCTGGCCAACCTGTCCCCCTGATTCCACCTAGTCCCTTGGGCCCTGCTTGGCCCAGATCCTGCCTCTGGTGGGAGTGAGCAGAGAGGCTTCATCAGGGATGGAGCTAGTGAGGGCACACACAAGGTGACATTTCTGACCCCGACCGGGTGAGTGAGGCTGCTGGTAGAAATGACCTAGAGCTGCCCTCCAGGCGTCACCATGGTCCTGCCGTCCCGCTGGCTTTCATGCCCTTCAGAGCCGCAGCTCAAGGCAGGGAGCACATGAAGAAGGAGCAGGGCTGTGGTGCCAGTGTTCACAGGAGGCCCAGCCCCGAGGACCTGCTGGGGAGTTTGGGCAGGGCTGTACACCCGCTAGCGCCCAGGGCTGTCTACCGAATCACGGGTGTCGCATGTTCCTAACTCCACGCACGCGCGCTCTCTGGACCTCTCTAGGAACTGCTCAGCTCACAGCCCCGGCGTAAGGGCAGCTCTTGGCAGCAGTATTTCATAATAACAGCAACAAAATCGATGGTGGCCCTCTCCCAGGAACATGGGCCTGTGCCTGATGGGCACAGCTCCTCGTTTGCTGTAGGTGCTCTGCTCCCAGCACGTTGCATGTTGTGCAGTGGTTCTGGGGCTGGCAGGCCTGGGTGCCACCATCCTTCTGTACTCCGCAGCTCAAGGCACCATCTCCTGAGCTCCCCCTGGCCTTGCTACCTCAATGGAGTCCAGGCTCTGACCTAGGCTTCTTGGCCTAGACTGCACACCAGCACGACCCGCTTCCAGGAGTCGCCCCGACATCCAGAGCTGGGTCTCATGGCAGTGCATCCCTCCCAGTAGGCATTCTGCTAAGTATCCTAGTTCTGTCATGCACAGACTTGAGAGCAGGATGCAGGGACCTGGGGGCTGGGTAACACTGACAGGGGCTCTTTCCCAGGGCAACAAGCCACCTTCCTGCCTGCCCCTTTGTGGTCAGCCTCAGCTGATTGCTCCAAAAGCTTCCAATAGCCACTGATTGGAAAAAACTGTGCCCTATACTCCACTCCACTCCTACCCCTGTCCTTGGTGGCAGGACTATTCCCTTTCAGCCGATTCTGGGACTCTTCTCCCAGCTTGCTCCCTACCCAGCAGAGGGAAAGGTAGGGAGGCCACACTCCACGAGGCCCTATCCCCAGCTTGGCCTCTTCCAATCTCAGACCCCTTCACTCCCTCCCTCTTCCTAGTCCCCCAGCTCAGCTAGACAGACCCACAGCCATCAGCAGGCCACAATCCTCAAGGAAAAGCAAAGGTGACAGCATGGAAGCAGGGTGAAGAGCCGTCCGGCAAGGACCAGCCAGGGCATAGGAGCTGTGCAGCTATGGGGACAGGCAGAGCCCTGAAGTGACTTCCTGTCTACCCACAGTGGAATCCCCAGCACCGAAGACTGGCTTTTCCTCATGGCAGTGACTATACCATTGTCCAGGGTCCCACACACAGTGGCCCAGGTAGAGCTGCCCAGCAGTTCAGGGTTGCCTTAGGTTCTATCGCTGCGATGCAAACACCATGACCGAAAGCAGCTGGTTGAAGAAAGGTTTATTTAGCTTACATAGCCAAAGTCACAGTCATTGAGAGAAGCCAAGGCAAGAACTCAAACCAGGCAGGAACCTGGAGGCAGGAGCTGATGGGAGGCTGTGGACAAATGCCGCTTCCTGGTTTGTTCCTCGAGGCTTTGCTCAGCCTGCCTTTTTGTACATCAGCTCAAGGGTGGCACTACCCACAGTGGGCTGGGCCTTCCCCACCAATCACTATAGACTTGCCTACAGCCCAGTCTTATGGAGCTGGTTTCTCAGCTGAGGTTCCCTCCCCTCAGATGACGCTAGCTTGTGTCAAGTTGACATAGTCTAGTCAGCACAAGGGTACTAAGGGCCCTGGAGCACCAGCCCAGGCCAGGGACTCAGTGAGCCCCTCCCAGCCCAGACACAATCCAGAATCTGGCTTCCATGGGGGTAGGGGACAACCTTCCCTAGCCCCCCATTCAGAGCACTGTCAGCTGTACCCCTCACGGCCGCTATAGCCTCCAATATCTCCTCCTGCCCAGAATCACATCCAGAGCACGCCTGTAGCAAGGCACCCTTCCTAGCCACCTTCTCCTCTGAGCTCTCTGACTCCAACTGCTAAGCTACCACCTCCCCCGAGGCCTGAGGCAGCCCTTCAGCTCTCCCTGTCCCCAGGCCCAACCAAAAGAAAGCCCCAACGTGATGGCAGCATGTGTTGGTCCTACCTGTCCAAAAGACCCCGTCAATTTCTGGAGCCGTCATGAGGACCCCCATCTTTGCCACAGTCCTCGAGGTCTTACGCATCACACTCCAGAGGTCTGCTCAGGGGCAGCCTGTCCATACCCCAAGCTCCAAGCACATACCATGCAGACCACGTGGGGCTGACTGTCAAGCCTGGGGCCTTTGCGCAGGCTGTGTGTACAACACACATTTTGCCTGGTGCCTCCAGCCTCGCACCTCAGCCAGGACTTCCATGGCTCCGTACAGTTTCCGCCTGACCCTCCTGACTCTTTCTTATTGTTTGGGGTTTCATGGGTGACCCCCCGCCCTGGTGTGTTTCTTGGTCCTGTTTCCCTGTGGCAGCTTCGTATATGGCTGTGTTCTACACGTGTGTGTTTTCCCTGGCTCCCTGCTGTCTTATTTTCGGTTGGGACCAGCCACTGAGACAGGGAAAGGGTCACACCTAGGCCTGTTCGGGTGCATACCCGGAGGCCTATGCAGGCCTCGCTTCCTCCCTTGCAGCAGCAACTCCTGCCACCCTTGTCCTCGGGCCTGGCAGCAAAGGCCTGTGAATCAAGCTGACATTTCCATTACCTGGGAGATGAGTATGTGACCAGATCCGGGTGCTGTGGTAGGAGTGAGACGGTGGGGTGACCACTTATCAGAGCCATAAACCAGAGAAGAAGTGGAGACTGGGGCCTGCCCATCAGCTTTCGCCAGGGAAAGACAGCCCTGGGTCCCTCTGCACATGGAGAGAAAGTGACTCCTGCAGGCTCTAAGAAGGCCCAGTGTGGGGCCTGTTGTGTCGCATCCCCAGACCTGCACACATGCTGGGCGCTTGCTGGCATGGCGTGTGGGAGCTGTCGGCCTGCTCCAGGTCAGCTTCTGAAGCTCAGCGGCCACGTGTGGCCCAGCGTTGGGAAGAGTGGCAGCCAGGCACGGGCTCAGGGTGTGAAGCAGAGATGCTGAGCCCGTGTGGAGCAGCCCTCTGCTTCCCTTCCAGGACTCTGGGTGCCTTGTGACCTCTTCCAAGTTTCAGACCACGTGTGGGCTCTGGGCAGGACACGCTGTGGCGTTTGCTTCCACAGGACGGCAGCCCGCAAGAAGGTGACTGTAAGAGCTGTGGTGTCGCTAACCTGAACTGCTTCCTCTTAACTAGCCAGAAGCCTCCCTGCTGTCCTGGAAGACAGCTGGGTCCCAGCCGCTTCCCAGGGGGACCTAAAGCCTCCTTTCTCCCCTTCTTCCCTCCGGGCAATGGCCCCCACTCCAGTCACCCACATACCGTAATCACAGACCACTTGCATGATTATTTATTTAGTATTTTTCTTTAAGCCGACTCTTTGTACGGAAACGCCTATTGTGGTTCATTCTAAGCGGCAGAGCCCGCATCCAGAGCGTGGGCACGCCCGCACACAGTTTTCTAATACACATTTACATAAACACAGCTATTAAAATAGATGACAGTTTTGTAAATAAAATCATTTCCTGGGCCTCCTGGGGCTCGTGACCAGCTCCGCAAGGCCCCTAGATGACCACAGAGACCTGTGAGGTTCCAGGGGGCGGGACCAGATTCCAGACCTTGCTCAGGCCCCATTACAAAGTGGCTCCCACTTGCACAAGGCCAATACTGCAGCTCCCCATCTGGGGCCTTCCTAACTGTGCAGGACTCTGCCCAGGACAACTTCATCTCCTCCACGAGGCCCCATACCAGCTGTGTGGACACAAAGTGGAAGGGAAGTGCTTTCTGAGTGACTGAGCACAGGCATGCATCCACACAGAACCATGAGGTCCACCCTTGGCCCCTGGGTGCCCAGCCTGAAACAGGACAGACACCTGAAGCTCAAGCCTCTTCTTTCCTGCCTCCTCCTCCTATACCAATTCCTCCTCTTGGCCTGAGTTAGCTGCCTGGCACTCCACTAGCCTCTTTCCTCAGCCACAGCACTCTCCCTCACACTCAGGGCCCTGCAAGGACATGGGAGTCCTGTCTTAGTCATCTGCTCTAGCCTGGAGCTTCGGCGACCTCCTAGATTAAGCACCTTACCTTGGCCTGTCCCACCGTACCCAGAGCTGTCCCCAAGGATAAACTGTAGGTTCCTAATGAAGCTTTGAGTCCTCTCTCCAGTCTGGTTCCATCCTCACAGACCTTTTTCCCCCCCACTTGTCACTGAGACCATCTGAAATCCCTCTCCTTTCCTGTCCGTCTTCTAAGCCCTGACATCAGTGTGATGGCTTGGGTGTCATTTCTTTGATCACCAGTCCTTCAGGTGGTCTCCAACAGGCACTGCCTCAGTCCCATGACCCCAGCTCCCCTTGTTGACGTGATGGTAGGATACTTTCCTTGGTCCAGACCACTCCCCATGCTCACAGGAACCAGTCTGTGCCACCCTCTAGCAGCTGTAAGAGGTAGGTGCAATGAAGACTCCCATCCATCTACAGGATAAGGCCACCAGGGCTGAGTAGACAGGACCTGATGTGAGGAGTCTGACTCCAGAGCAGGTACCACGCCCAGCACTCCTACACTGAGCTATCATCTCCCATTTCATCCCTTGTCTGCTTCTCTGGAAGAGTCAGTGTCCCATCTCCAAGTCCTACCAGTGTGTGGCGCACAGTAGGGGCACAATAGATGACACCTGTGTGCAGACAGATGCACAGATGGATAGCTGGGTGATGAAGATGGCTGGTGCACGGATGGATGGCTGACAAAAGGAATGACAATGACAGATGGATAATGGACGGGTGAATTATGGGTGAATGGACGATTGAGGATGGATAGATGGATGATGTGTTCACAGTTAGTGGATGGATGGATGGACAGTTGGATGGATGGATGGATGCTGGATGAGTGGGTAGGATGGATGAGTGGATAGGTGATAAGTGGATACATACTGCTAAATGGATGAATGAGTAGATGGATGAATTATGTATCAATGTATGGATGAATGTTGGTCAAATGGGTTATGATACGTAGATGGGCAGATGGGTAAATGATAGATGGATGATGGACGAATGAGTGGATAGATGGATGAGTGGGTAGGTGGGTAGATGATGGTGGGTGAATGCTGGCTAAACGGATGGGTGGATGGGTCATGTATGGGCAGTGGATGGATGATGAAGGAGAAGACCACATTCTACCTCACTCTGCCAATCTCTAGAAATCCTTCGGGGCAGGATGAGGCCTCTTGGGAAACTAAACTGGGAGCAAGTCTGGTTTAAACTCACTGTCTCGCATGTCACCTCTAATTTCAACCAAGAAACTTCCCTCTCTGAACCCCACCCTCTCACGGTCAAGACAGTATTTTCCCCCTGGGCAGCTAAGCCAGAGGTTTCATGTAAAGTGGCCCTAGACGCAGGCACAGGATCCCCAGGGTCAGGGTGGTGTCACGTTGCTGAAGTTCCTGAACACATGTCTCTCCTATCTCCTGGACTGCCCCTCCTGCTATGCTCAGGACCCAGGCTGCTCTGCCCGCCTGTCTCCATCCTGAACTTCCCCAGGTTGGGCTGGACTCTAGCTCATCCAAAATGTTTGGCCCTGACCTCGGTGCCCAGGGCTCACACCCTCAGGGCAGGGCGATGATGGGGGAGCCAGCCCATACATAGCAAGAGAGGAGGTTTGACAAGCATTTATTGAGCCCCTGCTGTGTGCCTGCTGTGTAGCCCTGCAGAGGCAGCCACTGCCCCTCCTTCAGTAAGCCCCATTCCCTGTCCCCACAGGACCCTGCCCCTCTGGGCACCTGCTTGGCATTGTGGCTGGCTGTGGGGGCCAGCATTCAGTGGTCCATGCCCGTGTTCTTCCTGGCTTCCCGGCTGGGTGTGGCTCTAAGCGTGGTGGTGATTTCTGTCTCCAAGTCTCTGCGCCACCTGGACAGTCCCTCTGGCCCTCCTGACCCGTCTCTGGGGGCCCAAGACCCAGGCAGCGGTGGCAGTCTAGGCCTGGTGTCTCCTCGACAGGAGAGCCGAGTCCATAGCACAGAGACCAGGCTTCCATGTCCTGTGGGAGGGGTGTGCCGGTGACGGCAGGAAGATGGGGGCTGGCTTGGGTCACATCACACCCAGTGCCCCAGGACCCAGCACTGACGGTTTAGCTCTGCTGCCTCATGAGCTGAGCTTCGTGGCCAGGAGTCTGCCATGTGTGGCTGGTGCCCTGCAAGAGACAAGGCAGATGCTCTGACGGTGGCCTTCTCCCACCCATGCCATCTTGACCGCTGGCCCAGCCCCACCAAGCTTCCGTCTGCTCCCATCAACCCACCACACTGCGCTCTCCACCACTGTCCACTGCCTCACCAGCACATGGAACCCCAGAGAGCCACCAATCAACCCCACAGGGTCCCACCCCCTCAGCCACAACCCAAACTCCATCATGCCCCTCCCACCCACCAGCCCCCTGCAGACCATCATTCCCTTCCATTCCACTGCACACCCACCAGCCCTCTTTCCACACCTGTAGTCACTGTAGACACTGTGGCTCTAACCCCTGCACTCGCCAGCACGCTCACCAACAGTCCACAGCTTGTCTGCCCACCCACCCATGCGTGTGTCTGCCTATCAACCTCCCCATCCACTCTCCCCCCAGCAGACTTACTGAGTCTCTCTCCTCCCCCAACCCCGCTTACCACCCACCCCTCCATCCCAAGCCCTTGCCCCTACCATCTCTAAGCCTTTCCATCCAACCTCATAGCCTGGTTCCTCGTGGTCCTGGGGGCATGGGTCAGAAGGCGTTAGGAGTGCATGACTCCACATCCTGAGCTTTTATACCCTACCCCAATAGCTAGTGTGTATCAGGGAGCCCAAGTTGACCTTCCTTGAGTGCACTGTCCCCTTCCACCACTGGCCACTGTCCTGCTCTTAGAGACCTGGCAAGCTGAAGAACACAAGGCCCCCTCCCCTACCCCACCCCACACTCTCCCTCCTATACCCTATTAATTCTTGGGTCTGCCCCATCTTCCCTTGGATGTCTCTTCAAAGTCTGTCTGATATGCCCAAGCCATCCCTGTCACTTGTTGGGGACCACCTTCAAGTGTCCCAAGTCTGCTCTCCGGGGGAGCCTGAGCTTAAACTGCCCCACTACGGGGCACCTGCCCTCACATTCTCTTTTATGTGACAGAGCAAAACGTCACCTCCATATGATACAGAAGGGGCAGAGGCCCTCCATGGATCAGCAGCTGGGTCAGAGCAGCAGCCGCCTAGAGCTAGACGGGCCGGCACTTCATGACTGCAGCCTTCTACATCAGAAGTCACTGAGCTTTCTACTCTGAGCTCCAGGGCATGCAGAAACCCTTCAGGGTCAGATGGGCTCTCGTGGAGAACTCATCGGAATGAGATTAGGAGCAGTGCCCCTCACTGGTGGGAGCACACCTCTCAAGACAGGGAGCACACGGCCCCTTCTGTCCCCACAGCACCAGCTGTTAAGAGCTGCTCGCTGGATCTACATAGAGGTTGGGAGGGGCGTGAGACGCGTGTCATTCTGTTCTTTTGGCCTTTTCTCCCCTTCTGTTTTTAATAATCCTTAATGTTAGTGCTTTGTACATTTTGCTGTATTTCTAAAGGAGTGAAAAACATTTTGCAAACATTCTGGAATCGTTTGGCCTTGGGGGAGGAACATTTGTTTTGGCCCCAGCAGCCAAAACAGTTGCAGTCTTTGGATGAGCCTGTTGCCAAAATAAAGGTGTTTGCGCCCCCCCCCCTTAATGAGAAGCAAATATTTGGTGCATAGAAAGGTTTGACTATTTTTTTTTTCTAAATGAGTATTTAGAAATGACTGGAAATGCTCTCATAGGAGCCAGCAAGCAGAACTGCAAATGGGAACGGAGAAAGCGGTTATGTGGTTTTTAAGTACGATCAGGCAGAGTCCGTCTTGCTCCTAGAGATAAAAACAAGGTTTTCTGACCCCTTGCTCTGTGGCCACCCCACAGAGCATTCTCTCATTCTTTTACCTTTTAGAAGGCACTCAGGGCCCAGAGCCATTGGCATCACATCCCATCCGTCCTGCAAGGCCCTCCACCCACCTCCCTTCTCTCCTGGTCCCTTCACTTTGAAGCCACCATCAGCCAGAGTGGCCTTGTGCTGGGCTTTGGGAAACCCAGCTCAGCACTGCTTTTTGACTCAAGAATACGTCACAAGCAGGCAATGGGGACAGAACCAGCCTGTTCCACTGCAACCAACATTTACCACAGGGAATCCAGGTTCAGATCTTCCAAAGGGTTCAGAGACACTGGAAATTTGGATTTCAAAATAAAACTGTCCAGCTTTAAATGGTGACAGTTAAAGTGTTTAAAATATCCTCAGTGATACGCTGGCCATGAAGCCTGACCTGACCCAAGGGAGGTCACCTGTGTTGCTTGGCTGTTTTCCAGCCCATCTTTGTGGACTCTGTCCTGTGGTTTCCTGCACCCTGTCCTCCAGCTGGAAATGCCCTCTGGTGTGTCCCTGGACATTCCATCCCACTCTACTCTCCATCCCCATCTCTCCTGTATTTTCTCTCCTGGGAACCACTGAGGAGCCCTGGGTGAAGGCATCTCCCTGTCACTGTTCCACCCCCAACCCCTGCCCTTCAGTGCAGCTCACCTGGGGTGAGGCCCTCCACACACCCAGATGGGAGCCCATGGCCCGTTGGCCTTTGCCTGGTCCAAGCGAAATGTCCTAAGGTGACATTTTCTTAAGAAATAAAGCCAAGAAGAGGGGATGGGGGCTGCTGAGCTTGGGGTGCTCTCCTCCCACCACTCTGTCTGACCCAGGTTTAGCACGGCACCCCTCTGTCAAGCCCCTCCTCCTCCTCTGGTGCAGGCTAAGGGGGTAAAACTATACCTAGGTCTGATCGAGGTACAAATCCGTGCTCTGTCAGAGGAAAGCTATAGGGCGTGTGTGTGTGTGTGTGTGTGTGTGTGTGTGTATGTATATGTGTGTGTGTATTCATGTTTGGATGTTTGTGTGTGTGCACATGCTCAAATGTGTGTGTTTCTGTGTGGGTGCACGTGCGTGTGTGACTGCATGTGGGTAAAAGCGTGCGGGGGAGGTGTGAAGGCGTGGGGAGGAGTGGGTGAACAAGCACCCGCTCTCAGGTGGAGGGATGCCAGAGCCCAAGGTCGAGTATCTTTCCTCGAGTATTCTTCACATCACTTTTTGGGGTCATCTCTCACGGATATCGGAGTTCTAGACTGGCAGCCAGTGCGTCCGGGGCCTTTCCTCGAGGCCCCCGCCCAGTACTGAGTTCACAAGCACACCACACACCTGACTTTTTAAAATCGGGGTGCTGGGCATCGATCTTAGGTCTTACGATTACATGGCAGGTACCTATCCAGCTGAGCCATCCCCTCAGCCCCGAGCACATCTTAAAGCTGGGCGATTTTTGAAAGGCAGCCTCACCTCTTTGAGCCTGAGAAGATCGAAGTGAGACACGAAGGAGTCCGAAGACCCAGCTGGCCCCCTGCACTGAAGCCCTTCAGTACCTGGTCTCTGACGGCGTAGAAATAACAACAGTACAAGTATTCAGTAGGACCGGGCTCAAAGCCTCTCTTCACAGATGGAGAAACAGGCTCACAGTCGGAAAGAAATTGGCCCAGGCTCCACTGCAAGGGTTGGTAACGTGGAGTTTTAATTTCCCCTTAGACCCTAACTCCACCCTAAGCTTGGCAGAGTCTTCAATATGCACAAGGCTCTAGAAAGATGATTTTTCATTACTTTTTTTTTGTTTTTCTTTGTGACTGTTAGTTTGTTTTTGAGACCGGGTCTCACTGTTGAGAGGCTAGCTTCAACCTTATGATCCCCCTGCCTCAGCCTCCTGAGAGTTTGAGTTACAGGCTTGCTCCATCCCACCCAGACCCTTTCTTTTAAATCGACCTGCTCCAGCCTCAGGGCCCAGTCCCTCCCTCTGTGTCTCATGGTTTTGATCTTTTATGAGGGCACAAAGTCCGTGGCCTGCCCAGGACTGCTCAAATGATTGGCCTACGTTTTGCTATTACAGAGTGGGCTCATCAGGGCGGCAGGTACTTCAAGGCCTGGAATGCCAATGCTGCCATGAATGTGTCCATGAGGAAACTGAGGCACTGAGAAGGGAACTCACTTACCCACAATATGAGGGCCGGAGGCCCCAAAGGTGGGCAGGTGGTTGGGTAGTGGACCTCATAGTTGCCCAAATTAATGGAGGACCTGAGGCTTTTGGAAGCAGGTCTGTGGTGTGGTGTGGTGTGGTGTGGTGTGGTGTGGTGTGGTGTGTGTGTGTGTGTGTGTGTGTGTGTGTGTGTGTGTGTGTGTGTGTCAGCAGGCAGGGTAGGAGGTTGGCTAGTTTTGGCAGCTCTGCTGTCCATGGTTCTGAAACCCACCCTCTAGGACTCAAGATCTCACTATGGTCTCCGGTACCTTAAAGTAACCTCAGCCCCCAGCCGGGCCTGCAACTCAGCTGGAGGTAACTCAGTTGGCTGAGTGCTTGTTGAGTTCAAGCGCCAGCACCTTGTCAACTGGACGCGGTGACACACATCTGTGATTCCATCTCTCTGGAGGTAGAAGCAGGAGACTCAAAAGTTCCAGGTCATCCTTGGCTGCCCAGAGAGTTTGAGGCCATTCTGGGCTACATGAGGCCCCCTTGTAAAGGAACGAGAATGAAGAAAAGATAGAGAGAAAGACAGACAGACACAGATAGAACATGTAGAGGGTGAAGGAGAAAGGAATTAAGACTCATGTTGAGGCACCTGGCTTTGGGGACCCGGCAGCTGGAGACACTGTCATGCTCCAGATGCTCCGATATCAGTGTGGCCCCTAATTCTCCACACACGTCTGCCCTGATGGGGATTCAAAGACCAGCTCTCTGGTATCCACAGCCAGTTTCCAGCCACTGGCTCATGCTGGATGGTAAGTCTGTTGAGTGAAGAAGTGATGTGGGTTCGGGACAAAGAACAGGCTTAAGCAGACCACTGGGAGAGGGAGAGGACTCAGTCTGTGTAAGGTGGGTTTGTTCTGCTCTGCCTGGGCGGGTCCCTGCACCTCTGAACCGTCGCTGACCCTGATCGCTTCCTCATACCTGAGAACAGGGAGAGGAAGGGAGCAACAGGCAGGAGCCGTGGGAAGAGGCCCCGGGGAATGCCATACCGGGCAGGGAGGGGCCTGGCTCCAGAGCTGAGAAGATGAGGTCAGGCTCATATCTCAAAAAAGATGAGTGAAAGAGATTGGCTGTAAGTTGCTGAGTAGCCCAGCCTGTCACCAAAGTGGACTGCCGTAGGCAGGAACTGCCCTGAACTGGGTCTGTGACCAGTAGGCCTCAGGGGCACAGGAAATTAAGCTGTTTGAAACCCCGCTGGCAGCAGTGCCACACACTTGCACACTTGTCGTTCGAGTCTGGGTGGTAGGGGCAGGAAGATTACAACTTTGAGGCTAGCCTGGGCTACATAGCGAAATTCTGCCTCAAAATAAGATGCAGAAGCCCATCTTGAGCCCAGAGTATTCTCAGTTTGACTCTCCACCCCAGCAGGATAGCCCTAACTCCAGCCGGGACCGCTGACCTCCAAATGGCCAGGTCTCAGGTGCCCTCAAGCTGCATGCCTGTCTGTGCCCGGCAAATTGGCCTTGATATTTATTTTGAAAATATGGTCTGGTCTGCTTCCATTTTAATAACGGCGGCAACTCGAGCAGTGCTCTGTTGAATTTGATTTTGACCTAATCAAAATGCCAGCTTGCTCTGGGCCCACAGAAAGCTGCCTCCGTGCCCTGAGAGGGACAGCAGGCTCTTACAGACACACCTGGCAAGCACGTCCCAGGCATTAGACCTGACAGGAGCCGTGAGCTGTAAACCCCAGTCACCGCAGAGGACAACGCACATACCCAGATCGAGTGGCATCATCGCTTCCGTCAAGTGTCACATCTGATGTGCTCCTGAGCTAGCTGTTGGCACTGCAAAGTCCCAAAGGTAGATTTCAAAGGCAACCTCTCCTCCAAGCAAAAAAGAACTGTGGCACAATCAAATCATAGAGGGACCAAGGGAGAAACAGCAGCTTTGGCAGAAGTTAGAAGTGAAAGAAAGTTTTTGTAACTCTTCGTGTCAGCGAAGCTGCTCTGGGAGGAGGTGGTGGGAGATGCTCAGAGGTGCTGGGGCAGCAGCTGAGCCCTGCTGTGTGCTGCTCACTGGTCTGGGTGCTTGGGCTAGAGACACGAACAAGATGGCCAAGGCGTTTATCAGAGAGACAGGAGAAACGGGACGCAGGCGGGTAATAAAAAGGTAAGTCGGAGAGGGACAAACGCTGGAAGGAAGAGAACATGGTGTGGGAGGGCACCTGGGAAACTAGTCCAGAGATCGGGAGATAAAGCGAGCGACATGAAGCTTTAGAGGGAGAGCATCCAGCAAATACAAAGGTCCCAGGAAGTAAAAGGGCTTAGCTGATGCTGAAAGGGGCAAGAGGGAATGGAGAGAGGAAGAGGGTGAGGCCCTGGGACCCACAGTGGGCAGAGCATCTCTGTGCGGGGCTGGGTTGCATTGCACACTGAAGAAAGTAAGGGCTCTGCTCAGCAAAGTTGCCTGGTGATTCTTCCTTCCTACATGCGGATCAGCCATCAAAGAGCTAGCAGGCAGGAGCTTTGCAGAGCGCACACAGCGAGTGTTTAATAATGTGGCTCCCTGACACCCTCCTCCCCCATGCCTCCTGCCAGCAAGCTGTCCCTGGCAGGAGCTGAGCAGCTGCTTCATGAGGAAATATTGCAAAACTCGCCCAGGCGGTTCCAAAATATTTTCTGGGCAGCAACCCCGCAAGCCGCCGAGAAGGCCGGGTTCTGGGGACCGGCTGCTTCGTTAGGCTGTTAGCGCTCTGCTCTTGCTGGGACCCCATCCTCAGGACCCAGCCTGGGGACATGGGTCCACACAGACAGTTCCTCCACACTACCAAGCCTGCATTCTCCTGATACCACCTGGCTGTATAACGTGGGATAAGCCTAGTCTTTTGGTTTGCTGAGACAGGGTCTCACCATGCAGTCCAGGCTGGCCTCGAACTTCTGACCTTCCTGCTTTGGCCTGTTGAAAACTGGGAATACAGGAATGTGACACCATGCCTGGCCTTTCAGGATGGATTCCTTGTCCTGTCTGCCACGGGGATGAGTTGGCTTGGTGAGTGAGAGAGCTCATTCTTTCTAGCCCCTGTGCTGTGCCCTAGATAAGGTGTACCACACCCTGATGCCACTGGCTAGCAGGGACTCCACCGTGGCTCTTGCCATGCTCTGCAGTAACCGTATGGGTCTTGCTGTCCTACAGGCATGAACACGTGTCAAGGCCCCACAGCTGGCCTTGCTTGTCTCTCTGCTTCTGGGACCCAGAGAAGCAGGGAATGAAAGAGCGTGAGAAAACAAGAGAGTAAGAGAATGAATGGTAAAGGAACAAGTGACCGCTTTTCACACAGCACACAAACAGCCTCGGTAGAGACACCAGTTCCTTCCTTGCGCTGACACGGTATTCCCCAGAAGCCCCAGGAGTGCAGCCGTCTCTACTAACTGCCCTCATGGAGGACACTGGGCAGAGCAGCTTGGAAACTGTGAAGCCAAGATGGAGAAAGCCTTCCCTCCTCACTCCTTAGAGCCGTGGGTCACAGCTCCCTGCACCCACCCTTCGCCACAGGCGATTTTGTAGTCCCTCCACGCCAGCCGTCAGGTTCACGCCCCTGTGATCTCCTTCCATCCATGTTCTACAGTCCCCAGACTCAACCTCTGCAAAGCCTCGAGGCTTCTTGGCGAACTCTCCCATTGGCTGTGACGCATGCCTTTGAAGGTTCCTGTGACCCCAAGGTTCCCCCCTCCCTGCTCTGCTCTCCTGATGAGCACCTGCTAGCTAGTTCACGGCTGCGCACTCTGCCAGCCCCTGTCACAGAGACAGGAGGAGAGCTCCCGGCACAGCTGGGGGAGTACCAGGCCTGTGTCACTGCCCTGATGTTCCCTGCTGGAACCGATCACTCACCTCTTCCTTGAGTCCCATCCCCATGCCAACCTGTGATGTCTGGATCCCCTAAGCAAGACAAAGTTCTGTGGATGCAGCCTGTTATTGTCATTGTGGGCATGCGCACACGTGTGTGAGTGAGAGAGAGAGTGTGTGTGTGTGTGCGAGAGTGTGCACCTGTATGTGGTTTGTCAGGGCCTGATCTCCATCTGAGCGCCTCTGACAAAGCCAGCAAAAGCAAACCTCTCAAATCTGTGCTCCCGTGGAGCCACATTCAGGCCACCACCTTGCTCTCTAGGAATGAGGGCCTTACCCCAGCTTCCAAGCTGGCCTGCCTGTAGCTCACACCGTCCTCTACCTCTGACTCTGAGCTCACTTCGGAGACAAGTGCATGGAGAGACAGGCAAGAGACAAAGATGGAAAGGTCGACAGAGATGGAGAGACCTGAAACAGATGAAGTAGACAGCGGCTCCATCAGAAGATAGATGGATGACAGATAATAGGTGGAGAGATAGAGGAGAGGTGACAGCTATTTAGATGGATGGATACGCAGGCAGACAAGCAGGCAGGCAGACAAAACAGGCACACAGATAGAGAGACAGATGATCTGAATGAGGAGAACACTGAGGGCATCGACCTCCGGCCTCACACTCACCGCTCCTGGCCGTCAAGCACAGTGGCTCAGGGACAGATGGATGCCTCCGGAGCACCTCAAAAGGTCTAAGCGGTATGAGCTGACTAGCAAGGCCGTGTGACCCCCCGGGGCAAGTTACTCTACTTCCTCTGCTAAGCTTCCCACCTGTGGGAGTCAGGGGTCAGCCGGGTCACGAGACCTGAAAAGCACCCACACACGGATGGAGCGGGCAGAGGAAAGCAGCTCAGAGACGTGCATTTGACGGCTGGAGCTGACACCCTTCTCATGGCGCCCTGCGTCCCTCCCTATGTGTCCGTCAGGTTGAGGCAGATGTAGCAAACGCCCTCGGAGCCCCCAAGCTAATCTGCTCAGCGTCCCCCTCCCTGCCTGGCAGAGCCCAGCCAGGGCTAATCTCTAAGGCCATTGGTACAGCTGGGCCAAGCCTGGAGCTGCCAGGCTCAGCTTCTCACACTCAGGAGTGTGTCAGGGCCGGTGCACTTACGGGTGGGGTATCTCTCATGGCGGCAGGCGAGGTGGAAGTCTTCCTCTTCGCTCACGTCCCCCTTCTCAATCCTGGAAAGAAACAAAAGGAAACCCCAAGGCTGGGATGAGAGGGCAGGCAGAGCTTCAAGCACCTAGGGCCAGAGAAGGGTAGTGCCCACTTTCAACACAGCTTTCTATCTGTTGCCCACAGACCTTTACCCAGGTCCTGACAGATGGGTACCACTTTTCCCATTTCACAGTGAGCATTCCATTCACATGGCCAGGGCTTAGACACACACACACACACCCCACAGTGGGAAGAAGAGAAAGGGGATAGGGAGGAAAGAAGAGAGGGAGACAGGGATAAAGGGGGACATGCCACACACAGACATAAATAAAATAAAGTCCTGTCAGTAGGTTGGTTATGTCAGCCCCTAGCTGGGCCCAGTGAGTCTCAAACTTGGCTATTGCTAGAAGTCACCCATTAAGGAGTTTTAAACCCCACGTGGGCCTTCCTTCCTCATACTGTGTCAGGTCCTGGGCTTTAGTTCTTGAAACAACTGTAGAGGTGCATTGGCAGCTGTCATTGCTAACATGGCAGAAACCACAGTGTGGTGGCTGGTGTTACTAATACAGCAATGACCACTACTACATTCACCAAACACATAAGGAAAATGAGATAAAGGGGAGCTGGGTGCGCGGAGTCACACTGCCTGGTCGCTGCTGAACTGAGCTCCACGGGGCACCCCACCAGATGTACAAGGCCTTGCTTGGATCCTGTGTTTTCCTGCTGGAAGCAGACACTCGGCCCCAGAAAGCTGCATAAGGGCGGTCAGCCCTCACCCAGCCCTATCTTAAGCCCAACCCTTCCCTTTAAGTTCAAGCTCTGCCATAGCCCCACAGTGTCTGAGATATGGGGCCTCGCTGAAGAATCCGCCAGAACAGACTCTTACACAGAAACCAGCTCTTTGTACAATGGCAGCACAGAAGGCTCAGACAGGGGCGTCATGAGTTTGAAAGCAAGACCCTGTCTTAACAAAGGTTAAAGGAGGAAAAATAAAAGCAGAGTAGGAAAAAATGGTGCCATGGCCTAGCAGGCTAGGGGTTGGCCCCTGGTTGTCAGGTCAAGTGTCATCTCATCCTCCAGGCCTCCGCTGGTCCCCACAGAGTGGCTCTCAACCCTGGCTGCTTCTGGCCACAACATCCCCAAGGGACATCAAGCTCTTGTTTGAAAACAACTGCAAATGTCATGAGGTGACCCATCTTCTACTTGAGCAGAAATTTCCTGGGAAATACGTTGTGCTATGCTCTCCTTTGAAAGGATGGCATGAGCCATCGCAAGAGACCCAGGAAGGGCTTGAGGTGCTGACAGGGGTGGGTGCATCCTGCACTCTGTTGGGTGGCAGGTGGGACCAGGCACATTGGATGTGACATAGGCACCCTCCTGGGCCTCAGGTTCTCCTGAGTACCGGCTATATCTTGTACTGGCTGCCTAGGCCTGGACATGTCCCTTGTCCTCCCCACATCTCCGTTACCTCCGTAGAGCTGGAGGGCACTACCTGTTGCTTAAGGCTTTGGCCAGCCCCGGGCAAACCCATCCGTCGATCCAGACCATCCATCACCACTCGCTCTCACTACTGCCATAGTCATCACTCTTCCCTTCACTGGTAACACACTCAGCGTCACCGTGAAGCTCCAGTTACAGAGAGGTTCTCCTTTGTCGCATCATCCCAGGCTTCCTTCTTTAATCCCAGTTAGCTCTCTTGCTGACATTTGCCTCAAGACTTTTTTTTTTTTTTTTTTTTGAGACAAGGTCTCATTATATAACCTGGCACTAAACTTGAGCTCCTCCTGCCTCTGGCCTCCTGAGTGCTGGGATGACACGCCAGCTCCGCTTCGCCTAACCCAACAGCCATGTTTTGAAGGAAGGGGGGTGAAGACTGAATTGTCAGCGCTCTGGTCCGGCCAGGGTCAGCGGACCCACAGGTGGTTGCAACATGGCCTCCTGTTCCAAGAAGCCACTGAGCCGCTCTACCCAGGCCCAAGGACAGCCATGGCCAAAGCTGAAAGCAATGCTCAGAAAGCAAAAGAGCCACAGGGGAGGGTGGTAGTGCAGAGGTACCCTGAATCCACACACACAGCTCTCTAGGGGGAAGAAGAGCCTGGGTGCCCAGTGGACCTCTGTGGGCCAAGCCTTCTCATGTGGCTAGATGGGCTACAGCCAAGATGGGCAGGGATCCATCATCAGCGCTGCCTCACTCCCTGCAAGTCCCATCAGGGCCACCCTCAAAGCCAGCCTCCTTCCCTGACCCCAGGCTGGCTGCTTCCAGCCATTGCCCCCACCGGGTGACTCTCTGTGCTTCCTGGCCCAGCCGTGAGGAAAGCTTTCTTCTTCTCCATTTTCAGTATGCCGTAAACTAACTTTTACAGAATCACCCAGCCCTGTGCATGCACCCCAGGTGAGCTTGAACTTCCCACCAGCAGGCTGGGAGAGCCTCCGCTGGCTGTCATTCCTGTTCTGAAGATGTTTGCAAACAGCTCTGGTTTACAGGCCACGCTTGGAGTAGTCCCTGCCCATCTGCTGACCCTTGCTGGCCATATTGCCTCCAGGGTCCTGAGGGTGGCTATCTGCCCTGTTTCACAGCTCAGTGTTTCCCAAACGTAAACAGGCGCAGCTGTGACTATGCGGATTCTGAGAGACCGGTCTTGAGTGTAGGGCTAGGTTTTGCTTTTCTCACAGGCTCCACAGAGGCCCATAGTGTGGGTCACAGATCCCAGTTGAGTCTTAGAACATCTGCTAAGCCTGGATCTCCTGGCTTTCCCAGAATGTAGGACCTGCAGGAGGGAAGTCCAGGAAGTGACCATTTCTTCCAGATGTTGCTTCCAGATGTTGCTTCCAGGTGTTGCTTCCAGATGTTCCTCTCACCCTTCCTCCATTGTTTCCCACCCTAAGGACAGCCCTCTGCCCTCTATTCTCCCTTCCAGTGCTGGTGTGGATCAGCAGTGTCAATGATGTCATTCTTGGAGCACCTTGAAGATGTTGCAATCTCCTGGGTACCATCTATAAATCCTGGGGTCCACGCTCCTTCCAGGAACAACAGCCCAGGGCAGTGCCCTGCAAGGAGCCACCGAGAAGTCCCATCAAAGCCTCCTCAAAGACAGATGGGAAGATAGAGCCGAGACTCTGAAGTTACAGATCCAGGAGATAGCCTCAGAGGACAAAAACACGTATTGATTTTAAATGATCAATTTAGAAAGGAATGAAGGATAGAATTAAAAGGAATAAAAAAAATAAATGACCGTAGATAGTAAATTAAGATTTTATAACATCCCACCAAAAGGCAGTTCCAAGAGAGGGAGGAAATAGACGGCTTTTTAAAAGATTTTATTTTCTACTTTTCTGCCTTTCTTTTTCACAATAGACTTATTTAGAATATAACAGGAAGGAGCCTTTCCGCACAGGGTTCACACAGTGTTCATTTGGGGCAGGAGAAGAATCAGGCAGGACAAGGGGGGAGGCTGGGGCCTTCCCATGATGTCCTGGGGACCATGGAAGCCACACTGACACTCTAGAGAGAGAGGAGGGTTCCACTGTTCTGAACACATCAGAGTGTTGCAGAGAATGACTACTGGGAGAATGGACTCTAGAGTCAAAAATGGCCAGGAACATGTGGGGGGAGTTTCTGCATTCGCCCAGGTGGGTGTGGGGTGACTCAACCTTGTCTGAGTGACCAAGAGCAGAGGTGAGAGGTGGGAACTCCAGCTATTCCCGCTTATCCACAAAAAGGTACCCTGAGTCCCCAGTGGGTCCTAAAGCCCAGGGCTGTGCCAAAACAATAATAGACTGTTTTCCCTCTGTACACAACCATGAGAAAGTGAATTCATAAATCAGGCACAGTGAGAGATTAGCAATAAGATCTGGTAATAAAACATGAAAAAAATGTTTATTTTGAGACACAGTCTCACTATGTAGTCCAGCTTAACCTTGAACTCACAATCCTCCTGCCTCCACCTGCCAAGTGCTGGGATTGTAGGTTTGTGCCCAGCTAAAATAAACACACTTAGAACAATGAGAAACAAGAAATAAAGACAAGCTACTTAAAATTTGGTCTAGATCTTAAATTCCAGTGCTCAGGAGGTAGAGGCAGGTAGATCTCTTTGTGTTCAGGCTAGCCTGGTCTGTATAGAGAATTCCAGGCTAGCCAAGGCTGCATTGTGAAATGCTGCTGTATGTAAGGGTGGGAGAGTATTTAAAACATATGATTTGCTGGCTTCTGTGGGTACCTGAAACTGTAGAAGTGGCACATAGGTAAGGGAAGCTATGTTGCTTTAGTCACCGGGGAGTGGAACTGTTTGAGAAGGATTGGAAGGATTAGGAGGTGTGGCCTTGTTGAAGGAAGTGTGTAACTGGGGGGTGAAAATGGAGGTTTCAAAAAGCTGACACCAGGCCCAGTGTTTCTGTCTGCTTCCTACAGCTCAGAATGTACTTCTCAATTACTGCTCTAGCACTGTGTGTGCCCCTGTGCCCCTGTGCCCCTGCCACGTTCCCTGGCCTTGATCATAATTGCTGAGTTTATAGGGCAAGCACAGTGAGTGAGTTTGACCATGCTGATGGCTGGTAACTTCTAGAAACCAACATAAGAAGTATAGAGGCAACAAGGAATAAGCTCCTGGGTGTCCTTAGCCATGTGGTCACTGAGCAAAGAAGAGGGAGGCTCACTGGCCCAAGGGAACATGGGCACCTAACAATACCAAGGAGGACTGGAAACGAGAGAGGCTTACTCAGTGTGGCCACATTGAGAAGAGGAACTAACACACAAAAAGAGTCCGTCTTTGAAGCCCTGGCATGAGGTTTGGTTTAAATAGGGGATGAAAGGTACGCAGGGCTAAGAATTCCTGGTCGTGGTGTGGTCTGTCTGTCCGTCCCTGACCCGTGATTGTCTGGTCTGGCCTGGTCTACAAGGTGCTTGATAAGCCCTCGGTGGCCTGTGAAATCTCTTCCTGTGCGGAGACAAGCTGCTCCCTGGCTGCAACGGGCTCCAGGGTGAGAGTCCCAGGAAATTCCAGTTCCTTAGCGCCCACTGTCTTAG